ATGTCAAGTTCATCCCTGGCCACCCTGAGACTGCTGCCATTGCCACGTACGTATTTCTCATTCCCAACAATTAACTCCATCTAACAACCCCACAGCGCTGTTGGCCCCGGCCAAGTCTGGGTCATCTACCCCTTCCGCAAGGACGCCAACGGCAAGCAGGGTGTCGCCGAACTCCTCTACGACCTCGGCCCAAAGGCCAAGGCCTCCACCGCCATCTACTCTGAGATCTCCGACGACGGAAAGTTCGCCTACTTCACTATCACCGTTGGAAACCACGTCGCTGCCCTCGATATCTCCGATCTCAGCAACCCCAAGCGCCTTGACGACCCCAACGAGACCCAGCCCATCATCGGACCCCACTACGTCAAGCTCTCTCCTGATAAGAAGAACCTCCTCGTTGCTGGCTACTTCGTCCAGGCTGGTGATGTATGTTCTTGAGACCCACTCACAGATAAAAGTCATTTTACTAATTGAATCATAGATCTCCGTCTTGAACACTCCCGCCGACTACAAGATCCACTGGCTCGACGTCAACAAGGACGGCTCCCTCAGCTTCAACCGCACCATCGACTTCGAGAGCATCTTCACCAAGACCCGCGGCGGTGCTGTAAGTGACACCCTAACGTCAACCCCAAGTATTGAAAATATGTACTGACAATTCGAATAGCGCCCACACAGTGCCGTGATCTTCGATCTCTCGGACCCCAACCACCCCGTTTACTACTAAACGCCAGAGGGGTGTTTAGCTGGCTTGCAATGAGCTTCTGCGCATGACATACTATCTTTTAATTTTCTTTCGAAATACCTTTGCGGGGGGAATCAAATAGAGGATATATAGTTCTATTTGTGATTGAGGATGTTATGATATCCGGAGCGCCAGGCTCTATGATCTAGCTAGGCCTTCGAGTAGCTTGCTTAAATCGCTATTACCTGACTTATAATCTACAGTCTTTTAGATCTGAAAATGTTTCTCGATAAAGAAAGTGAGGCCTGAGATATGAATATTTGATACACAGTACGGCGTGTGCTTATGAATAATACGCTATGCGAGAGTTTGGTTTCGTAGAGTGAGATTGTTCCTACACAATCAAGAATCTTTTTCTTATGTGCTTAGCCATTTTCATGACTGCTTTGAAAATTACCTGGAAATGGTCCGAGTTTGAATGATTCTCAATTTGTGCTGGCGTTGACTAAAATTAGAACTAGTTTTTCGATTGTATGCTATATGAACGACTCGAGGCGATCATGGCAATAGAGAACTACCTTTCCATATGACCAAAAGATCAAAACTGCCACACTTGTGCCCATCGAGATTTTTTTTTTTTGGAGGTAGAGGGCGGTCAGAGGCTTAATTGTCGTCTTCTGCACGTGGTGTGGAAAGGGGACTCTTGTGAGGACCCTAATATGGGATCGTTATTTCCACGCTTTACGAACTCAATGTATAAGTCGTAGTATTTTGGTTCCTGTTCCCGCCGTAGGTATTCTGCTTGTGAGGTTTTTGGACCTTGTCGGCGGTCAAGGCTCACCTTAGAGCGCATCTTCAATGACCAGATTATACCTAATTAGAGAGATGTTTGTTTTCCATTTGAATGGCGGTGAACGTGGACTAAGCAGAGTCGACCAGCCTTTACATTAACACAAATTGGTTTTCTATAAGCACCTGTATAGTAGCTTTTCCCAAAAGTCTGTTATTTTCAGATATTTTAAATGGAGTACTACTGAGTAAATGGTTCAACCCAACAACGCTTAGGTACCCCCGGGTTGAATAAAACGGTGTGTCACTTCTATTATATTGGGCTACAAATTTGACTTAATCTCATTTATGTCTGTATATCGGATAATGATAGTTTGAAATTTACTTAGAACCACATCTTGAGCCTTTTCGAGGATAGAGGTTGAGTGGTGCGCTCTCCTTTTGGGGGAAAAGAATGTTGCCCCAAGAATAAACTTGCCTGTTGGTATAAAAGTGATTCTTAACGTTTTGATTCTTAGTATCTTCACGATAAATAGAGTTGTGATTCCAACTGTCTCGCAATTACAGTACCGTCTATGAAGGCATAAGAAATATTCTAGACGAAACAGAGACTGATACAGTCGCAAAAGCAGGTGATTTTGCATCTAATCATACAAGTCACGGGAAGTGGCGGAGCTGCGTGGCCTTGGTTTTACCCGTTATTAGAGGGATAATTATAACTCTCAATTAGAAACGAATCGGTGTAGGCTGTGTGCTGAATACGATATACGCGACGATCTGTAATTCGCTCTGACTATGGTGTGTCACCTCTCCAGCGTTGCATTGCTACTGACTCATCCCACTCTCCTCTCTAGCCCTACCTGTCTCGCCAGGGTCTTTTAAGGCAACCCATGCGATGGAAATCTACCCACTTTGGGTGAAAAACCTGGCCCAGTGCCATTCTTGCTGGCCCACGCCGTCATAGAAGGTTGAAACTGTTTGATACGACAATGATCCGTGCCGGGAGCACGTTCTTCAAGTCAATGCAATGAGGTGCTTCTATCCTCCCAAGGGCAAAAGCAAAAGGAAGATGAAAATTTAAGCCCAGGGTTGCTTAAGGTTGTCTCACTTGTTAGTGGCTATGCCCCGATCCTGCAGTGCCAAGACTGGAGCTAATGGCCGAGTCAGCAGGACAATTTGACCCTTGGCACCGCTCTACTTGCTTGAATCTGGTGATGGTTGCGTCTTGCTCGAGAGTCTTCTGTTGGGTGAAGCAGCAACATAGCCTGGCCACGGGATGTAGTCTGTCTGTCGTCGAAAGGAGACCGTCTCTTCCAGCATTGCTTTCCAACGTTCCCCTCCAATTTGTAAATAAAACCTAAAAAAAGCCTCCACGGCAGTCGAGCGTTGGTCTGCGCTAGATGCAATTTAGTTCCCTCAGCTGAAAAACGACCCCGGCAAAGGCTGCAGGCTACGCCTTGATGTGTGCTAGGGGCGCATGCTGCCTGTTTCAAGGATGCCCAATCAATCCCTGGACCTTAATGAACCGTCAATGCAAGTGCGGCGTTGTAATTAAGATGATGGGCCCCGAATATTAAGAGGGCTGTTCGCCTCTCTGTTCGCCTCTCTGTCGCACATGTTGCTGTCGCCAAACACACTTCGCCAACTATACGCAGACGCTTCGTCGCGAAACACAGTCACCATGGCCTACTTCCCGTCATACGCCTCGTTCTACTTTGCGCGCGGCGCTCTGTCGTCAATCAACCTCATCGCCTCGTTCGTCATGTGGATCATATCCCTCGTTAAGCTCCGGACCAACAAAGACCCTGCTCGAACAGCATTCTTGTGGCAGAGGATATCCTTTGGCTTCTTCACTCTGTATGTCGCTGCCTCTCGTATCCCGCCTGTTCCCTTCTCTGCTCCATAGACATATGCGACTAACACCAGAGTGTAGATTCTGTATCTTCGACGCTGCCTACTACCTCTGGCTCCCATTCTACAGAAGCTACGGCTATGGGTCGGTCAATTCCATCAGCTCGACCCTCGGTCCCCTTGGTTACCTCTGGTACAATATCGCCGACATCCTGATCGTCATGGCCCTCGTGCGCCTCAATAATGGAATCTCGATCGTGGGAGCCAAGCAGCCGAACTCGCTGCCCAAGATCCTGAAGAACGTGTCCTGGGGCGCATTCGGCATCCTCCTCGTTCTCGCAGTCGCCTTATTCGCAACGTCGGTCGCTATCAGATTTACAAACATCTATGGATATAGCATCCATTTGTACCGCCTCGGGACGGCCTTCTATGCCCTCATGTTCGTCAGCAGTGTGTTCGTCCTGGCACAAACCATTTATGTGTTCGTGGCCGCTCGCAGCGAATCCCATGTTGCTGAGGTATGTTTCGTTTTCACTCTATTCCATTCTGAAAAAGGCTAATTCTCCAAGTAGGCCTCGATATACTCCCTCGTTTGCGCCATCCTTTTCTTCATGCACCAACTGTATGAGTTGATCATTGTTTCCACCCTCACCATTGAGGGCTACTACCTGCCCATCACCGAAGTCGTCTTCTCCCTCTGGCCCATGTTCATCATCCTTGTCCTCATTTTCGTCCTGGGATCCCGGAGAACAAGCCCGCTGTGGTCCAATGGCGCCCAGCAACAGTCAGGAGCCTTCATGCCCGCGCCGGCCGGCACCCAGCCAGCTCCCGCCTTTTACACCGTCAACGGGGTCACCTACGCCGTCCAGCCTCCCGTGATGCAGCAGGCCTACATGCCGCCTCAGCATCCTCCACAGCAAGCCTACAACCCCCAAGGAGGCGCCCCCGAGCAATATCAGCAGCCGTACCCTCCGCAAACATACCAGGCGCCTCCCCCTAACCAGGGCATGTATGTCGTCCCCCCTGAGTTGTCCGCTCCCAACTCCTACGGACACGCGGGACAGCCACAGCACCAGGCCTACGCAGCGTACAAGGCCGAGGATCACACCCCATCTCCCCCATCGGTGGGCGGCGCTCCTCCACCTCCAGCACCCGCTAGGGTGGCCTAATAGAACAACGAGTTGATTAACATATGGAATTTGTGTGTTTGTATTTGGGAAAAAGATACCTGGCGTTTCGATACCAACCTGACGATAGTCTTGGCGGTGCTCACTTTTAGTCACGTATGGAACATGAAGAGAGCAATTCGGTCAGAGGGGAGTGGATGTGTTCCTCTCTTCTCCACAAAAGCTTTGACTTGTGATGAGATATTAATAAAATCAGTAATCTGCACTTAGTAAACTTGATTCTCAATTGTGTTGCATCCATGTGCTCATCCCAGACCAAACTGATTCAGTTCGTCGATGTAGGAGAAGGCCTTTGGCCCTGGACAGGTCTCTCAGCTTTAAACAGTACATAGTTAGACAATTACATCATACATACGCACACGCAGGAGCAATTTACTTGCTTTGACTATTGGCGGCGTCCCACTAGTCACTCTTCGTAAAGTTGTAAACATCACCGCTCGGGTTTGCTGGCTGGGTAGTGGAAAACACGACCAATTGCACTAAGCCAGATCGACTGAAAAAGAGTTCCAAAGAAGGAAAGTACCTTCCAGATACACTTGATATAGCTGCGTGGGTGAAGGTATCTAATGCTCTGATGAATGAGCGGAAACGCATCCTCAGTAACCTTGATAATGTATTGCGTAAGTAGCATATGTTTAACTCGCGGCGCTGATCTCTAAACTTCAAATAGGTTTAACCTTCATGTCTGTACATACGGAACACCAGAACCAAGGAGTTGGTTCATTCATGATGGAATGGATTTGTCAAGAGGCAGACCGACACAATAGACATATGTATGTGCTGGCATCGCCAGCAGGCGTCCATCTATATTTAAAGTTCGACTTTGAGACTGTCGGCCAGGTAGATGCAGGAAAGGGCGTGATCACAAGTATGTTACGGAAAAGCAGATAAAGAGCTGGGCAAGTGCACCGAAAGGACGTTTACTGTTTCCTTGTTGTGCAAATGATCGTGTGATAAAGATCACGAGCTACAGGGCATGTGTTTAGGACCAATCCTGTGCTCTGGCGATGGGATGAAACTAGGTGGGACGCAGCAACCTTGTCTAATAAGTGCTGGATTAAGGTAGGGGAGAATGAAAGGTCAATAATACACTGTCAACCTTGTCAGGGTGGCCGTCGTTCCACAGAGGGAAGGTCACGTGAGATATTCCCTGGTGGTGAACACTAGGCGCATGTTGCCTGCTTGGAAGTGACCATTGAGAGTTGCAAACACACTGTATTGGAGAAACAAATACAACAGAAGTTGATTTAATATGTACTGGTTCCCTAATGGTCGAGTTGGTTAAAACAAAGACACTACATCTTTCGGGGGCGGCCACGGGGGCGTTTTGTAGAGTCCTTGTTGTTGCTCTTCTTTCCTTGTCCATGAGCGAATCGGAACGACATGAAGGCACTGGAAGCTTGGCTGAACGAGAAGGGACTAGGAGATGCTTTTAGTAAAGTTCTCATCTAGCAACTCAACAAACAAAAAAATCTACGAAGCTTGTGGGTGTCATTCGAAGAAGGTGTTTTGCTAAGAGCTTCACTTTGCGGTCATGATCTTTATTGCTATAAGGTTTTATCAGCTAAAAGAAGGGTACGAAGGGCGGGGATGGGTGATTTTGAGCCCCCTCTCAAGTAAGTGGAGTTGGTGTCTAAGTATATTTACAAAAGTAATGAGACGCCTCCGCTCTCGACATGGAAATACCTAGTCGGTATTTGTTTCCGTCTCTCAAAACAGGACATGATCTATGATCCTAAGTTTGGGACGGCTAAATATTGCGACATCGAGCGGGGGAGCCACCGACGCGAATCGAATCAAAGTCAGGAACAAAGTGACGTGCGTTATCAATCAAGTCAAAGGGTGTTCGGGATCCACCAAACGGGCTCCAGCCGTTGAAATGAAAATGAAGAAGTCCCGCCCGTGCTTCATAACCGAGGTGTTGCACATTGTGGGTTTCGAAGCCACGTCTCGAGATGTAGGCATGAAGACTGGCACCGGTGGGATAAGCACCAAGCCCCAGGGCAGCAATCATTCGAGACCCAAAGGGAATTAGGTGAAGATAGCAGAAGCCGCCCGCGAAAGTAGCATTGGGGGGGCGTGGTCCGTGGCGAGTAGTCGCGAAGGGTATGAAACGAGTCAAAGCCCCAAAAGTGACAGAACTAAGCCATGCGTGAAGTACGTTGGAGTGGAAGAAGATCGAAGGTATGCCGAGAGCTACCATCATGAACAGGCCACCAGAGAGCAAGTAAGCAAAATTTCCGATGGCATAAACCCCCCTTAGGATAAGAGGGCGACGCGTATTAGATGGAGCGTCTGGTTGGTCTTCCATTTCAAATGTTTCTTCTGGTTGTAGTGGTTGAGGTAGGTTTCTGAGGTGTTGGGCAATGTCAATTCCCAGGGTGATCGTATGCCGGAGTCAATTATATTAATGAAGAAAAGTATGAGTCATAAGTCGCGTCAGGCGTTTCCAAAAAGCGCGCATAGCTTCGAGTCCTAGACATGGATACTTCTAGAATTGGTGCTATCTACATTAGGCTCTGTTACGACGAGTGCCTGTGCGATAGACGCCTTACCAACAAGGCGTCTATCTTACAATAATGTTAATGGGAAGTAATGTGCTCAGCCCCGACCCGCATAACTAACCCGCAGAGAACCATAAACCGTAATATTCAGCCTAGCAGGGTCCTTTTGTGCAATGGACACAGTAGCCGTGCAAGAATGGCAATTGATAGGGGCGCCGCACCATTTTGATACAGATACCGCAACCTTACGGGTGCCGTTCTAGAGCTTCTCATTGGCCTAAATTCCATCTGTTAGTGCACCGGTACGGACCGGATTCTGCCGCGCTTTTTAGTCGTTGTCAATTCGCGTTGCGTTGTGTTAAGCACATCCATTATTGTTGTCGTTCCCCGACGAATACAACATACCTCGAAACTCTACAATGCCCTCACTAGATATCCATGCCGCTACTGATGTATACAAACGACGGAGATCCGAATGAAATGCTAAATATAATATTTTGGGACAATGCTTCCGCTAGGTCCCTCTCAACGTTTGAAATTCTCACAAAAACAGACACTCACGAGGAAAATAGACATTAAACTCAATATAAGAGACAAAGACAAAGATTAAAAGGGTAAGGGCGTCCCGTTGGAGCCATTTATTAATTGGTCGGAGCGATGGGGAATGGTTGGGTTGCTAAATCCTGATTTGGTAAGATGGAAGCTGGCCATTCGGCAATTTGAAAGGCAAATTTTCACAATTCACTAGGATTTCCACCCCCTTCATGAACAAGAGTCGTACCTTGGCAAAGTCCACTTATAGTAACGAGCCGGTAGAAGACTCGACTTCGAATTAGGTTGCCATGCTCTTCCTTACTAGAAGTGGTCTGAATTCGATGCTAATACTTTTTATTATCTACCTAAATTTAACTTCTCATGACAATATCGTATCATCTTACGTAGGCGATAGTAGTCCTATATTCTATAGTCACTAAATATGGAAGTACTACAAAAGCTTGCTCCTCAATATCCTAGTGTTGCGATTTTCCTCTATTAGGAACAATCAGCAACACCCCAGACGCTTCATTCCCCCAAGAGGAGGACTTAGCTTGCAGCTTGTAGGACCACTATAACAGCATTACCGCCGTCACTACTATTCGCAAGCTCCTCGGGGTCTGTGTTCAGGTCATGAAGGCTAAAATCTGAGTCATCGCTCATATACATAGGGTCCGGGTGTCCAGAGTGACTTTTACGTTTTGCCAAGTTTCGTTCGGTGAGCTCCTTCTATATCCGGAGATCAAGGCGGACCATTCATCCGACATAGGAAGCTGAATGAGCGAGTGGCAACAGAAAGCTTGTGAGCCAAGTGGGAAGAACACTAGCAGAGGGGTTCTCTGCCATTTATCCCGGACCATGTCGTCGGGGTATTAGCCTTCATGTCGGCTCCGGATTCGCCACAGGTACGAGGCGACTTGTTGTAAGCTTAACCACCCCTGTACTAAAAGAATTCATGGGGTTTGAGTGATAACCAGCGGTCAAGAGAATCTTCTCGAGATGCCTATGTTTGAGTAGGTAATTGAAGGAAGAAGATAGGATTCAGTATTCGTCTCAATAGCGGCGTGAACCCCGATTGGCAATCCGCAACTTTATGACTGAATAAATATCTCTCTATATCACAGCTGCTGGGATAACATCCGCCGAATATGGAAATAAGCGGTGTGTACTGTAAGCACTATAAAGTGTAAAACCGGGAACACTGTTTCAGGCAGGGTTTGAAATCCAAGGAAGGCCAACTGTTGAATAGATTTCCCGGATTATTTTACTACTCTCATTAATAGTGGAACAATAAAATCTCTATATAGGCTGAGGCCACTCGCTACTTGGACCAAGAGAGTCCCGCAGCCTGACCTCTAAATCTCGTTCATAAACCCATTTTGTCATGCTTTTCAAGACTATTGCTGTTGCCTCCGTTCTCTCTTCGGCAGTCGCCATTGAGACACACGGAGGTGTTGACTTTGAGATTCGTTGGGAGGCCAATGGTCAACCAGAGCCTACAGCTATCAAGGACCATTATGTTACCGTTGCCGCTGAGCAAGCCGCCACCCGTTTACATCAGCGAATCGCGGAGAAGAACTACCAAACCGGCTGCGAGGTTACCGACCAGACAGATGCAGAGTCGCTGTACACTCTCAAGGAGTGCCTAGCAGCGGAGAATAAGGATGCGTTTTTCACTCTGCTGTCCGAGGATATTAAAGAAGGCGAGGCCTTCTGGGAGAAGGTTGTTGCTGAATCTACTGCCTCTCGAGACCAGTGGATCTCTGCTCGCGGCTGGGTCCGAGCCTATTTCAACAGCAGTCTCACAGCAACCCAGTTTGCTACCTGGATGACAACTGAGGCGGCTGATGATGCTTACCTTCGCGGCAACCCAGAGCACTATTATAAGTATACCGAGAACCTTTCAATGGTCCAGCAAAGATCGCATCTATTCGAAGGCTGGGGCGGTGTTCTCTCGTCATTTGGTTCTAAGCTCGTCAATTTTACGATACCCGATTTCCAGCCTCGGACCTTCAGTACAGACGACTATCCCTCCGCATGGGCCATTGACCCAGCCTTTGGATCATTTCAGCGTGCGGGCCCCAAGACCCTTCTCTCCGGCACCACTTGGGGCGTTTTGCATATCGGTGTTCGCGACATTACTGCCGAGGAGTCTGGGCGCACATCGGGTCTTGAGATCTACGGAGCTGTGTGGTACCCCCCCTGGGACCAGAGCTCTGAAGAGAATCAGGCCGAGTACAAGAACTTGTTGAAGGATGAGGATCACCAGGTGCTATCTGAGGTTGTCACATGGAGCCTGCAGGCTCAGAAGGATTGTAGCCAGGGCCTGTGCAATTTGCCACTGTAATTATTCAATAGTTGGTCTTCTCGATGAGTGTAAACTGAATCATGAACTGTCAGAGATCCAATAATCGTATGTGATTACATTTGATTTGGGGTCTTCATGGTAGACTGAACCAAAAACCCATGTATTTAAGTCGAGCATGTTATATGATCTCAATTGTTTGCGGAAGTTGATCCTCAAACCAGGTGATTTGCTCCAATGCCCAAATTCCAAAGGAGATGCACCCTATTCGACGGAAAGTATTTGCCATGTTGGGTACTCGCTCCAGAGCAAGACCATTGTATGTATATCCGGAGCCTATCACTGCCTGCAGAGCAAATGTTTCCTGTAGCGGCAGCATACCCAGCTTTCCCCTGCCCGCCTCGCTTATTTGGACAGAGGAGTTGAATTTCCCAAATGAACATTCATCGCTGGAAATGTGGGCTTTATATGCTGATGCATCATCAGGAGAGAATTCTCCGCATCCCGACAATGTCAAACCAGCAGGGGCGTCACTTTCCTGGTTCCTTGATGTTTGATGGATGCCTTTGATCGAGGATTCGGTGTGCCGGGACTGAGAAAGGTCTGGCCATTTCCAAGCTAGGAATTTACCTCCTTTCACATCTTCGATTGTCAGCACGCGGCTGAGCCTCCCCTTAATGCTTAATCTCCCAGCACTAACACAACCGAAGCGATCAGGATTAAGCGTTACTCCGCTTAACTTGGTAGAGCATGAAACAACACTAATGGGGCAGGTCTGTCTTCTCAGCAAGTTAATGAACCGAACATGCGCCTTTGTCGAAGCCCAGGACCAGCTAGGGGCTATATAGGCCGGTGTTCTGGCTGGCTTGTTATCTGGCCGTTGTGCCCGATCCCCAGTGTCATCGCAAACAAACCAAAGAAGAGACTCCGGAAGATGCGACCCCCATAAACCAGCATAGTAGCTTTGCTGGCCCAGAGGGTCCAACGACTGCGCAATGCTCGAGATGGCAGGCAACTTGTCGGTTGGGTTCGTAAGAGCACATAGAGAATAGCGCGTTACGAACTCATGCCAGCCGTCCAGCAAGATGTCAAACTCTCCTATATGGTCATTGAGAGATTTTCTGAGCGACCTGTCTTGGTTGGAATACCTGGATGGGTTCCTTGGCTGGAATGTTGATTCAAACCAGGATGCGCGACCACATTCGAAATACATTTGGAAAGATCCGAAATACAGAATCCGACTTGAAAGCATATATTCTTGCATAATCCATCCTCGATTTTGCAAGAAGCTGTCTGGCTGACTATCCAGGGGACTGAGGCTGCGTGTCCTCACATCAGTCTCTGCTGTTGGATCTCGGTGGCAGCCGGGGTACCATATAGTTATCATCCCATTGCCATTTGCCTTTCCGTCAATGCTTTGTAGCTTACACGGAGTATATTTCAGGTTGGTGACAAACTCTCTCTTGTGTAAAAACCCGGCACTGGAGTCTGTAGCTGCCGGTCCAGCAATAGTCAAGACCGCTCCTCGATACACATCTGACATCCTGGGGCACTCCCTCTCCCAGTCTGCCTTATCATCCTGGATGATGCAGAGTGAGTCAATCCAGATGTATTCATAGCCGAGCCTATGCGTCGCCGTCACTGCGTCTTGAAATGTTTGTGGCAAGGTGTTGATTTTGATGCCTGCCATTCGGGCGTGCAAATTGCTGGTCAAGGTCACAGCCGGTTTGGATTGGCCCCAACGATGTGAGAGCGCGATATAGTCGTATTTCTGGGTTTTAATGGTGTCAATTAGGCTAATAATGCCCTTTTTGGGCTGTAGACGAAGCAACCGCGTCGGATTCTGCTGCTTGATGCCGATGGGAGTGTGATGAGTGGTCTGGCATTGGTGATTTTTCTGGCAGTCGAAAAGCCAACTCGCTCCTAGAGAAAAATCGGCTTCAGGGGCGCATAATCTCCCTAAAGAATACGATCTAGGCCCAGCCGAGAAAAAGGGGTCACCTGGGCAGAAAGTGTTAGAAAATACCACGCAATTTCTGTTTTACCAAGACTCACCAGGACTTGAAGCAACGGCGAATTCTGCCAAAGCGTAGCTGTCATGCCGTGAAACTGCCTCCAGTGTTGATTCCTCGAACATGTCTGTGTGACAGAAGAATATCTGAAGAGGCCCAGCGAGTTCAGAATAGTCGTAGGGGACATAGAAGACGAAAGTTCCTGATGTCTCGGCGCCCAGTGATTTCGATAGTTTGGATTCGGTATCCTGCACCGCGTCGCTTTCATGCTTCGCCGATCGCCGTTCGTGGCGTGTATGAAGATAACCATTGTAGAGGAGCTTGCATAATTTGCATCCATTGTCGACGGACTGCTTGAGAAACTCCCAATTTTTATGGTGGATATAGTATGTATAACTATCGCTTCTTGTTCCAGGGGGTTCAAAGATATCCCGCCGTACAAAGTCTTGCTCAAAGACCAAGCAGAGGCTACATCTTTCTGACGTCGCGCGAGGGGATGGATGCTTGGTAGATGGGCCATACACGTATAAGACCGTGTTGGTGCTCCGAGGCGGTGGTAGCCTAGGCATGGCAGCTTACGTATCCTGTGATGTGTCGTGAAGGTGGTATATCAAGAGTTGGGTCAGTACGTGGATTGCGGAGTCAACCTGAAGTTTCATGCTCGTCCTAGGGCTGCATATTGGCCAATCACGCAGGGGTGCTTTAGAAAAAGAACACGTCATCATCTGGCTTCTTCTCTTGGCTCCGGGCATCAGACTGTAGAACCTAGCAGGATATTGGTGAATGGACGCCTTGCGTGGGTTGTGGCGGTCGAATTAGAGGAGATACAATTAATTGAACGGAGGAGTTTATTAACACAAGACAATGTGCTAAATCAAAGCGACCATGACTTAGCCGCATGAAATCAAGAGGTGGTTTCATCTCCCTTGCAGGAGAGAAGTCTGATTGCCATCGCATATCGACTCTCTTACATATCGCATGGAATTCCACGTAGTGACTGCTATGATCAGGGGGTTAAGAAGACCCGAGCATTTTGACCACCAGCTAAGCTGCCCCCAACTCAAGGCCTATTTTACGATATGCTCAGTTTTGGACAAATTAGGGGAGGAGAGTTGGAAAAGTTCAATGTAGAGGGGTTCGTGCCGAAAGGTTGACACTGGCTCTGTTTGAACTTGGACTGTATGTATATACTAATGTTCTATATCGCTTTATAGCCGCCAACAGTCTGGAGGAGGGCAAATTGATTTAGCCAATACATTCCCACGCCCGTATCCCTATTTAATGGATTATGTTGTAACTAGAACCATTTCTGACGTTCAAAGTCCGTATGTTAGATGTCTTTCCGCCATTTTGCTTCATCTCTGGCATGCTTAGTCCGAGCAAGGTGTATGCTCGGCACCGAATCGGCAAACTTGTTGATATACCCCAAACCGATCGCCGGCCTGCCTTTTACATTTTCTTGAACTATTCGCTTTTACAAGAGGATGAGAGGGGAAAGAAGATCAATTCTCACATTTATCTTTCTATTTAGAGTGAGGGTAATATAGAACAATACGCCATCATGTCTGCAGACGCAGTGTCGAGAAGCGATCCTAGTGATGAGAAAACGACACACCATCCCGAGAAGCCAAGGAATGCTGCAGATCTATCTTCCACTCGAAATGCGGAAGAAGAAGAGGGAGCTACTGGCTTAGAGGAGGTTTCTGAGGCACCATACACTATTTTCTCTGCCCGCGAAAAAGCCTCGATCATTGTTCTCGTCTCGTTCCTGGCCATTATATCTCCTCTATCAGGCTCGATTTATCTTCCTGCGCTCACATCGATTGCTGACTCACTGCAAATATCTATTTCACTTGTCAATCTGACAGTAACAACCTATCTGGTACGTGTGATGCATCAACATACGGCCGCCAGACCATGTTCTTACAATCCGCTAGATCTTTCAGGGCATTGCGCCGTCCTTCATTGGCAATTTCTCCGATTCCTATGGCCGCCGGCCCGCATATGTAATATGTTGTGTCATCTACCTCGCCGCCAACATTGGCCTAGCGTTGCAGAACAGTTACGCAGCACTACTCGTCCTTCGATGCGTCCAAAGCTGCGGTAGTAGCGCGACAATCGCCCTAGGTAGTGCTACTGCTGCCGACATGGTGACCCGAGCAGAACGAGGAAAATATCTTGGGTACGCTGCTATGGGCGTCACTCTTGGACCTACGCTGGGGCCCGTTATTGGCGGACTACTTGACCACTATCTCGGCTGGCGCTCAATCTTTTGGTTCCTCACGATTCTCTCCGGGGTATTGTTCCTGTTGGTGTTTGCCATCTTGCCTGAGACCTGCAGAAGTGTTGTCGGGAATGGGAGTGTCCCTCCGCCGTGGTGGAATATGTCGTTGGTTGGGTTTCAAAAACAACGCCAGAGCAAAGGTCAAGATAACACAATGCCGAATTCTGCGACAGAAAAGCCAAAGCGAAAGCGACCCAATCCTTTTGCCTCTTTGATAATGTTCGGGGATAAGACAACCGGGACATTGCTTGGATTTGGCGCAATCATGTACGGGGGCTTCTATATTGTCCTTACGACTCTTTCCACTGAGCTATCAGCTCGCTTTGGCTACTCATCCGTCATTGTCGGCTTGTGTTTCCTACCTCTGGGCCTGGGTACCATCTGCTACCGGTACACGGGAGGTTATTTGATGGACTGGAACTTCCGGCGTCATATGAAAAAGGCAGGATTGGAATGGGACAAACAGCATCAGCAAGATTTGAAATCCCTCCCCATTGAAAGGATTCGTCTGGAGGTCACATTGCCCCTGACATACGTCGCTTGTGCAATGTTGATCGTGTACGGATGGGTTATGGATAAACAGCTTTCTCTGGCTGGTATCGAAGTCTCACTCTTCTTTCTGGCTGTATCTTTCTCCGGGGCATTGAACAATTTGAATACTCTGATTGTTGATTTGCACGCCGAGTCGCCAGCAACCGCAGTCGCGGCAAACAACCTTGCGCGTTGTCTCACGGGTGCAGGAGCTGCTGCGATCGGGACGCCAATGATTGACCGTTTGAGCATCGGATGGACTTCAGTATTTGTCTCTGGTGTTTGGGCGGTCGGGACACTGCTTCTGTGGTTGGTGTTGGCTAGAGGACAGAGGTGGAGGAATGCAAAGGCGGTGGACAACACGGATGGGAATAACAATCGAGCATGAGAGAAATGGAGGAACATTTTAGACTGAAGCTTTTGCAAGGTTGGCTTTATCGTGATGCATTAGATCCGAAAAGATATCAAAAGGTGGTTGTATATCTGCTCAAACGTATGGGGTCAATATGGAGGAGTGAGGGGAGGAACATTTCCACACGATCTTGTGTATTTCGGTCAAAATTTAAGCAAATGATGGGACACAGTGAGAACTGGTGTTAGGTTTAATTGAATTTAGCATGAACGGCTTCGTGATGTGCTGGTGCTGCGACGCGCAAGCAATTGCTAATGGTTCAAGGCGCGTGAGAGGGTGTCACACGCACTGCATTATGGCCAAGAGATGAAAATATCATGCTCTAGGCAAGAAGAGCCATTGCAAAGATCGATCCTCTGGTCGTTAATTAACTCTCGACAGGGCTGGCTTGATGAGCGTCGGTGGAGTGGCCGAGCACAGCCCCCACAGCATCAGCGTCATCCTGGTATGCAATGTGGCAATACAGAGACTCGATGGGGCGTTGGAAAGGCTCCGCCTCGCTGGACTGTGAAGCGCTGCATGAGCGATGACGACGACGGCTCTGATGATGTGTCGGTCTAGACGCGGCGTTGATTGAGCCACACCGGCTGTACTTATATACGATGCTTCTCTGTTGCTACCACACTGGCATTTTCGAGGCTTTATTGCATATTTCTTCTTCGTTTCATCAAAATACATCAGAATGCAGAACCTGCCCCCTACTAATGTGAACTGGGCTCCGCCCCCTGGAATGCCGCCGCTGCCAGCCGGCTGGGTTGCTGAATGGGATACCAATTACAACGCATGGTACGCTTCAGTCTTCTATTCTGTCGGTCTTGTACCGGCTCCCGCTGACATTCATCAGGTACTTTGCAAATATCGAAACAGGAACTTCACAATGGCAATTCCCTGGGGTATGAGTGCCCTGCCTAAAGCCTCACCCAAACGCTGACTTTTGCTAATTCTGACGCTAGACAACCCCCGTTTTCTCCCCTCATGAGTCGCCAAACCTGTCGCAATATGACCAGGATGCCGAGCTTGCCGCGAGGTTACAGGCGGAGGAAAACTCCCACACACCAAGTGGCAATCATAGCCATCACCACAGCCAAAACCACTCCCTGGAAAGCGACGCAGCCTTGGCCTTGAGACTACAGAATGAATCAGAAAACAGCGATGCAGCTTTAGCAGCCCGACTCCAGAACCAATCGTTGGAGAGCGACGCAGCGCTGGCGGCCAGGCTCCAAAACGGGTCCTATGAAAGCGACGCGGCGCTGGCGGCCAGGCTTCAGAATGGCACGACGGAGAGTGACGCGGCATTAGCAGCCAGACTGCAGAACGGCGGACCGCAGAGCGACACCACGGAGAGCGATGCTGCTATGGCGGCTAGGTTGCAAGCAGAGGAAGACGCACGGAACAGCTCAAGACCATCCGGTCGCCATGGCAGACCCGAATCACGACCAGAGTATCACGGTTATTACGGTGCAGACGAAGAGATCCCTCCCGAGCTTCCAGCTCGCCCGCAGTCTGGTGGGAACATGTTCGACAAGCTGACCAACAAGCTCAATTCTCAAGCCTCCGCCAGCGGTCAACCCAACAAATACCCAGCGCCTTCAGGCTCTCCTCCCAAGAAAGCGCGGTGGGGGAATGCGGAGGCACATCTCGGTGCCTTGAGTGGGATGATGAAGGATCGGTTAAAGAATAAAAACAAAGAAGGGCGTCACGATTGAGGAGATGAGTGATGTATGAGATGATACCAATTATAGAAGCATGATTTAAATGACGAGCGTAATGATACAATTGAGCTATTTCTATCGCACTGTAAGCTTGACTTGCCGTTGAGAACCTACGCACGAGACTTGTATTTCTCCGTTGAACGATCATTCATTTTGCTACTCCTCTTCATCCTTTGCAATGGTCCACCGCCCAGTGCTTGGGTCATACTCGAGCAGGTACAAACTCTTGCCAATATTGTCATCATACTCGTGCGTGAACATCAACTTGGGCTCACAGTAATGGCCCATGAACTCAAACTCAAAGTCCAGCTTGGTCCCCGTTTCGACCCCCCCATGCGGCATGAAACGGAATGGTTCCTTCGTCAAAAGGCGGCGGTGAGTGAGAAGTCTGACGCTTTTAAGAAACGACACTGGTGTGCCGTCAGTATCGATCCCCAAAACATTGACTTGGCATTTTCCCCTCTCGTTTTCCTCTACTGTGATGTTGACTCGTCTTCGGAGAATGAATGACGGGACGGGGATTTCTAGTTTGTCCATCACTCTGGCCATCAAGTCGTCTGTTTTCGAAAACACTCGTATCTGCGAGAGTTTGTCCAGCGGCGTCTTCTGTAGATTACAGATGACTAGAGACGGCTCTAAAGCTCGCCTGGACCGACGAAGAGCAACAGATTCGGGAATCTCATTGGCGGGCGTCACGGTGAGCGAGGAGCCGAGAACCAGACAAAGATCAGTCAATTTGGCATGATGGCGTGCCAGGTCCAGCGGGATCTCTGGCAGAGATTCTCCAAAATTTATGATGCTATCGTGGAGATCATGACCACACACACACTTGCGACCGGTGCGGTGATCATCGTCTGATTTTTCGTATGTCCCCACTGCACGGAAATCTGTTGTATGGTTTATTAGCATCGCGTAGGTAGCTTGGACTGAGGGACGGTGGAAACACCAGCCAGAGTATTCCCTTCGTACCTCGGATGTAGTCCTTTCCGCAGCTCTTGCAGTATTCACGGTTACTGTTGCCATGGAGCTCTGATAAATGCTCCTGTTTATGTGAGCCTCTGCACAGCTTTAGAAGATTCAATGAGCCAACTAACCGGCAAGATACCACTTCTACGGTGTAAGCCATCACAGTTCTGGCTAATTAAATATTTCAGAAAACCTCGATTTTGTAGCTCGACGAGGGCCATATGCGTCAAAGTCGGGATCGCTTGGAGTGTACTGGTCGTCGGGCCGGTTCTTGTCTTGCCCTGGGCTCTGAGAGTCCAGTTTCCATCGGGACCGCGAAAATCAGGAATGCCTGGCAGCAGAAATTAGAAATTTGATGATACAAAGATTCCCGAATAGTTGGATTTGGACGATTCACGCACCAGCTGAAGTCGAGATGCCTGCCCCAGTAAAGGCAATGAAGTGTTTGCTTTGGCGAATCTTTTCCGCCAGTTTTTCTGCCTTCGACTCGAGATCATGCAACGGCTCGCAGAATTCCTGCTCGGGAATCGCGGATGCAGTCCACGCCATTGTGAGAAGTACTTTTAGCAGATGAAGGGGTGAAATAATCAGAGGTTGCGTGAATGGTGAGATTTCATATATGAATTCAATTAGGCAGCAGCAGGGATTTTATGAGCTGACCATAGCAACGGCGGTCAGAAAATACAAATCTTCAGTTCACGCTACACGTGATGTTCAAGGAGTGCTTTCTTAGTTGATTACAGGGACACTTGCTCACAAGGGGCACACTCAAGTTCACGGCATTTGCCACGTTAATCCTCCCGTCAGCAAACTAGCATAGATCCAGATCCAGAGTGTCTCGGCAATTTTCCTCGACATTTTTAGCGGTGAAGATTCCTTAAATCAGAGAGCCAAAAGGTCTAGGAACTGGGTTCTCATGAAGTGTGTAAACATCATTCAACGAGATTGCATCTCTGCCCGCCAAACAATTCTCAAAATCAATTTAGTAGACAATCTCCCTATTTACCTACAACCCTGGTTTTATTCCTATGTTGTTTTATAACCGGGATCATGGAACTCATGAGATCCAGAGAGCACATCGAATTCGTCCCCATTCGGGAGGACAACATGTGCCTTCGAATTAGGGGGAACCTCAACGTTCAAATGAAAGCCATCCTCAATCCACCATTGGCTATTGATGAGCCCATAGGGACTCAAATAAGTACAATTGGCTTTGGTGAGTCCTCCCCCGGGGATTGGGGCGACGAGAATCTTTTTCCATCCAGGTTCTTGAGGGGCAAGACCGCCAATGACCTGATGCATCCAGTTTGCAACGCCGCCGAATGCGTAGTGATTGAAACTGGTCATCTCGCCTGGGTTGATCTTTCCATCCGCAAGCATACTGTCCCATCGTTCCCAAGTGGTAGTGGCACCCATCTTAACCTGGTAGAGCCACGAGGGAACCTCAGTCTGCAGAAGCATGGCGTACATGTCTTCTACAGCCCCAATCTTGCGTAGCGCAAACCCAAGAGCAGGAGTTCCTGCAAATCCAGTTCCGACCAAGTAGTTGTTCTCCTCGATAATATCTCGAAGGGTTTGGCTAGCAGCTGCTTTCTTCTCCTCATCCGTGTAAATTTCAAAGTTGAGAGCCAGGGAATAAGCAGTCTGGCTTCTATTGGCAAGTTCACCGCCGTCATTCATCCAGAACTTCTGGTACTCCCCGATCAGTTTCTGTCTCTCTTCGCGGTATTGCTGGGCCAGATCATCCTTCCCAAGGGCTTGGCTCATATTGGCTACCATCTCAGTCATCCTTATGAGATAAGAATCAGCCACGAGAATATTATGAGTTAGCGCTTGCCCTGGGCTCTCTGGCGGTGCTGTTGGGTCAAGCCAGTCCCCAAATCCGAAGGAATCAAGAGCCCACAAGCCTCGATCGTTTCGGGGGATGCCAGTGCTTAGCCAAGCCTGAGACTGGGCAAACTGCTCTTCCAGTATGGCAGGATCGCCTGTGGTTTGCCACAACTCAAAGGGGCCTGACACAGCGACGTCACCCCATACGGCAGCCGCCGTGGGTGCCTCTGTTGGTGGGAGGTAAGGGATGAAGAACGCAGCTATATCACGGTCTGCCGGGCCTAGATTTTGCATTTCAGACCAGACATCTCGGTGCCACCCCCTCCAAAAACCCGCAGTGTCATGGAGGAAATTAGCAGCGGGCGCAAATACAGTCGCGTCTCCCGTCCAGCCAAGTCGTTCATCGCGTTGGGGGCAATCAGTAGGAATGGAGAAGAAATTCCCCTTCATCGACCAAACCACATTCTGGTGGAACTGATTGAGCATCTCGTGGGATGTTTCCAACCACCCGGTTCTTTCCATGTCGCTATGGATCACTATGGCTTTGACGCTTGTTTCGTCGAGCGGGTAGCCCTCGGGCCAGCCCTCGACCTGGATATACCGGAAGCCAAAGTAAGTGAAAGAAGGTTCGAAATCCAATTCATCCTCACCCAAGGTGATGTTGAGTCTCGCCAACGCAGTTCGGAGTGGTCGGATGCCAATCTCCCCTTCGTCCAAGACCTCGGCATGTCGTATGGTGATCAAGGAGCCGGCTGGGCCTTTGACCTTAAGTCTCAGCCAACCAACCAGATTTTGCCCAAAGTCAACCAGGGTTTTTCCTGCTGGAGACTTGAAAACACTGACAGGTTTGACCTCCTGGATGCGACGCAGGGGGGAGCTATCCAGAGGGGTAAGTTTTCCATGCCTTGGCTCGAATTTGGAAGTAGGGAATGTCTGATTGGTTTCGAACCCTGGAGATGACCAGCCGGCTATTCCCTTTTCCAATCGCGCATCATAAACTTCTCCGTCATAGATTTCCGAAGTGATGACTGGGCCGTCTATTGCTTCCCAGCTAGTATCACTCGGTATCTTGACCTCACTGCCATCTTCGAGCTGAATAACCAAGAGAGAAAGCAAGCCCTGCTGGTCACCCCAATGGTGTCGAGTATTGGAGAACCCGTACCGACCACTGTACCACCCTTCCCCCACGAGGGCACCGATGACGTTCTCCCCGGACTTCAGCTTATCAGTCACATCGTAGGTATCATAGACAAGTCGATTCCAGTATGACTGTATGCCAGGGGCAAGAACTATGTCACCAACGGCCGCACCGTTGATCTCGGCTTTGTACAAGCCATGCGCAGTGATGTAAAGTCGTGCAGACTTGACCTCTGACTCAAGTTGGAAGGATTTCCTGAAGTAGAGAGGCCTCAAAGGAGCATCGCTTGGTTGGGTGTACTCTGCTGCGATGGAAACGGCTCCGCCCCAGTCCCCATCGAGGAGACCAGTCTCTACCGTTACCACTTCTGACCATTCGGTGGGAGAGGAAGAGTCGTCACTCCCACCATAAGCACGGACCCGAACTGATGCAAGCTCAGCGGTGCCAAGAGGCTCATCTGGCCACGGCACATACACCGAGTCCGACGAATTGACATTGTACAGTCGCGGAACTCCATCTGAATCCCGAGTAATCTCAAGGTCGTATGCTTTTTGTTCCCAGGAGGGGGAGTTGCCGGCAAACCTCCATGACACCCGGGGCTCGCTTTCTCCGATGCCTTGGGCCGTTGGATAATGATGTTCAAACAAGACTCGAGATATGGAAACCGCCATTTTCAAAGACTAGGTGTTTATCAATCTGGTTTAGACTTTCCCGAGGTCCGGGATGATCATGTCTTTGCTTAATCCGCATCCCCTGTGGCCAAAGCACCCTTTTTATGCCTCGATGCAACTCGGGCATATGGCATAAAGAAGCCACGCTCGGTCGTTTCTCCCCCGACACTAGAATAATCGGCAGAAAGGAGGGCGACGATCAGCGTGTTTTGATGTATCCCAAGTGTGGTTATGGTATAGGCTATGAACCTGCTCCATAACAATCATCAAATGACCACAGGGGATGTGCCAATCATAATTGGGCCGAGATTCCCCATGGGGATTTGCAATGGTCATAGTGCCACCTTCTTGCAACGGCAAGGTGGAGGAGGTTACATTTGCACCCGAATTTAACAAAGTAGAACCCCCCTTCTCGGTATAATGAAATAACCATGACGAGGTGCCGGAACCGAGAGCCAGGGTCGGAATCGACTTGGCATGTGCATCATCATAGGATGATTCTCGGAGACACTTGGTGTGGATGCCCATTTGTATTTGCCCAACTCTCCTGGCAGAGCGAGTGATGGCCTATTTACCCACGACAACCCGGTTGTATGTCAGCTCAGCTTATGCAAGCACCCTCTAGTGACAATGAGGAAGGAGATGACCTGAAAAGACGTGAGCTATTTTCTGTGTTAATAAGCCCCTTAATGTTGCCACTTATCATGGACGAGCCCCAGGACTCTGTGATGTTTCAAGAATAGGTACTGATTGTATCGTCTAGTTCCACTATAGACTCTAGATTTTAGCCTCCTCCTCCTCCTTCAACTATTGCTTAAGCGACACCAAGATAATCAGAAAGTCAATTGAGTAGCTGCATTCAAGTAAATAGTATTCACTCTTTACCACTAAGTCTTTGAGCGTGTTACAATTTAATGAGATGCTCAATTTTACAATGTCTAGCCACGACATTGTCCATCTGATTTCAATCCACCACGGCCGCTTAACATTCAAGACGTATAAATAATTCTCAGGCCTGATTTGGAAGGATCCCACGTAACGAAATCATTATCATAAACCCCGACTAGCTCAAACCCTTCAACTGTCCCAGGGGCTTTGCAATCGGTCTTCTCCGTCAGGTACTCATTATACGTCGCATCCCATGTCGCAGAAGCGCCAGGAGAAACAGAGAGACGGCCGAGCTGGACGCCCCGCTGATTACCGCGGCTCCAGTAGACAGTGTAGTTCGATGTTAGCGGCCTGATGCTGTAGAAGAGGTCAAGCTTGGCGCTACCTTTAACAGTGGAGTTCAGATCCAGGTCAAACCCGAATCGACACTTCAATCCATCAACTTCTGGTGGGTACATGAATGTGAGGAGAGTAGTGACGGTGGCTCGGCCTCCAGATGTGGAGGCCTTGGATACCATACCGGTGGAGGTAGGGGCAGTTCGGCCGCTGGATGCACCGTATAGCCACACTTGAGATGGCGAGAAGAAGGGCTCGTCTGGTGCGTTAAACGGAATTGCATATACCAGGCTACCAAGAATTGTTATCAAAAGAGTCTTGTATGAAAGCATGTTGAAGATGGCAAATTTCAAATTCTCAAGGCAAGGGGAATGGGGGAAAATGGGGGCGATTGGAGGTGGTAGGAGAGACGAGATATTCCTCAGTCACGGAAGTCTAACGAAGGCTGCAAAAACTGAAGATGAGCACTGGATTAACTGCACGCCTTCAACAGCGTATGTATAATTCAAATCACCCTTGGTTCTTCTTCCCCCTGATAAATAATATGCATGGTTCTCTCCTGACAATCACTTTCTCGTTGCATACCACCTCAAGTTTGCCGGGCAACTTGGTAGGTCCTTGTGAAACATGCGAGGCACATATATTGGAGATGATCTACTGTTGCCTGCCCGTTACCAAGCATTCATCTTCTAACGCAAAAGTAGCCTTGTTTAGAAAAGATCGGAGCATTGGATGACACGTCTATCTCAGTAGTATGAGAGCAAGGCCCACACAGGGGAAGAAATGCATATCTGGGGCAGAAGGAATGGAAGGCGTATCAGCACGAAAATCCATTCCACGCCATTTTGCACTTCCGCTACACTATGCTGGTTTTTATTGAACTCGTATATTTGAGCTGGAATGTTCGAAGAACCAGATAATCAATGAGGCAGGACTTGCCTTTGGAGATCTTTTTAAGAGAAAATTATTAGAACACGACAAAATGGCCGGAAGTGGCTCCATCATATCACATTCTAGTACGCCATGTGGTAGTGAACTGTCTTGAATTCTGAAACACTCACCTCCCTTGGCTATGATCTTGTTCAAAACCACTCTGGAACTGTTCGCGGAATGTGGGTGTTTCGGTTTGCATCCTTCAAATGGCTAAGGGCCTTTGGGCCATCGAAGTATCATAACACCATGCCCCCTGATGAAGTCCAATAAGGTGATGACCCAATGCCTGGTGTCCAAGGACAACGTCTCTACCATCCTCGACAAATTCCAACTGCTAGGTTAATAGAACCTGATCAAGAAATATTCTCGTTGATATTTGTCACTCCTAGTACATTTGAACGAGGGAGGGAGATCCTCCATTGGAAGAAAAGCTTGGCCACTGTCTCCTTTGGTTCTCCCTTCTGCGCCAGCTCCATGAGGCTGAACTTGGCCGATGGTCGTCAACTCAGTCAGGGCGAATGGTTTAGTGGTATAATACTCCCTTAGCAAATTTCAGTCTCTGGATATTTGGGAGTGGTCCAGGGTTCGATTCCCTGTTCGTCCAAGAAACTATCTGAAATCCTCAGATGGTTGGCTTTTTGCTAGCTTAGACATTTGGCCGCGTTGGTGGATGTTTTGCGGCCCACAGTAAAGCCCTTGCAAATTTTTGCTGGTCCATTCCCCTACTTTTGACCAATCTGAGGGAGGATGCGGATCTCATCCCTGACTCGTAATTAAAATCAGACAAATTGAGCCCATGATAGCACTCCAACAGAAAAGGCGTTGTTGGTAAATGAGTGCTTCCGATGACAGCCGTCTTCTATGGTAGGATCACAGCCCATTAAATTGGTCTAACATCATAAGCGTCAAATTACTCTTTGGGTGATTATTTGGGGATATTGAGGTATCATAAGATTTGTTAGTACGACCATATTAAAGTCTGCCACCATAATCTACGTAACAGAAACAGGTCAAGTCCAAGTTCTCATATTTTTCTCTCTCAAATCATTCGGATAGTACGCATCTCCTGTTTATTTTAGTAACTCAGGGTTCTTCCCATTTGAGATGCTTGAATAATCAGAGTTGAAGGCCAATAATCTGCTGTGAAGATACAACAATTACCGGAGGTACAGGGTAGGCAGATATTGTACTGCCGGCTAGGTAATCACCCTCAAACTCAGCTGACAGGTTGGGATGAGTCAATGTTACCTCTGACTCAGACAGAATCATACACCCTACAACTTTTGGATCTGGAGGCGGCAGAGACAGTTTCGTGGCTTAAAGACGCTAAATGCGTGTTGAAATTACCTGACCTACTCCGACAGATCAAACCCAAGATGTCACTTAAAACGCTCCCAGTCGAGATCACGACGCAAATTGTGCATGAAATTTGTGGCCCAGATCGTTCACTGTGTGACAGGAAGGAACTTGTCAGAATGAGACTCATTTCCCGTGTGTTCTTTTGGTCGAAGATAGATGCAATACCGCTAATGCCTCCTCAGGTCAATTTGACGCGGTCATCTCCCGTATCGCATTTCCAATGGTAGATCTAACGGTTATACGCCGAAACGATAAATTGATGACACGCCCCATTGTTAAATGGTTGTTATTAGAGAAGGCCAGATCTCTGAGGCGGGATAAGTCACCTGGTGGTTTTGCTTTCATACTTGATGCCTCATCTTTTTTCACGGAGAGTCAATATGATCCTAGTATCTGCGAGGATGATAGCCTTGAGGCCATTTGCAATGCCATTGTTTCGTCAAACGATCCGAGGACCGTTTTCACCAAACTCATCCTCCATGGCACTCCAGATCCTTCCTTCTACAACCTTTGGTTTTACCGCCGACGACAACATGGCCAGGCTTGGACAAGGCAAGAAAGACCCGAGCTTTTCTATGGAGCGTTGCAACTCGCTTCCGCAGTGGGAAGCGCCTGTGCTATTGAATCACTTATGAGGAGTGGAGTGAGTTTGGACTACAGACACCGAGTATTTGGCACTGCCATTCGTTGTGCTATTTTATGCAACAAAGTGAATTCAGTGAGGGTCCTGATGAGAAAAGATATTGATACAGTTCCCATCATTGATGGTGAGGCAACGCCTCCTTTGCTCTTCGCAGGCCAAACCAACCGCCCTCGAATAGCCGAGTTTCTCCTGGGGTTGCCAAATGCCCCAGTGCACTTCAAAGGGAAGGGGGGGGTGACAATCCTGTTGTGGGCTGCTCGTCGAGGATGGACCAGCATCGTGAGAGATCTTCTTCGTAGAGAAGATGTCGATCCGGATTCCAAGACCGACTGGAAGGAGACGCCACTCAAGGCGGCCGCCAGAGGGGGCCATGAGGAAGTAGTCCGCCTATTTGTTGACCGCCAAGATATTGAACCTGAATTTGGCGATGGCAAACAATCACTCGCGTATTACGCCATAGACGGAGGCTCGGCGACCATCACGGCGCTCCTTTTGGACCGCTACAAAATCGACCCGAACAGACTGGTTGTTCATAACAAGTCTCCTCTTGCGCGAGCCGCAGAACTGGGCCACACGTCCTTGGTTCGAATGCTTTTAGATCGCGAGGACGTCGATATAAATTACTCTCATGGTACACTTCAATCACCGCCAATTGTTTGGGCTGCGATAGCCAACCAGATCGAAACTGCGAAGCTGCTTCTTGAGCGCAAGGATCTGAATCTTAATCTTGAGAGGTACGGATCTACTGTTCTCAGGAAGCTGGTAACTAGGAACTATGTGGAGATGGCCAGGCTGCTCCTTGATCGTAGAGATCTTTCGCTCCATGTATTTCAACAGGCCTTACGAGTGGTTGCTCGTTCCGGAAGTACGGAGATGCTGTCGATGTTTCTCCTGCATGAGAGAATGAGAAAGAACCACAGAGAACATATGAAATATACGCTGCAGGAGGCGGTCCTAGCAGGCCGTGATGGGGTGCTTCGAGGGGTGGTGAAGAGAATAACTCTTGAATCTGAATGGGTAGAATATTTAAAGAGGAGCTGGCGCATTCAAGCACTTGAGGACCGACTGAGCTTTTCTGAGCAGCGCTTTTTGCGGTAGAAGGTGCCGCTATGAAATTGAACGACTTGTCTCTTGACTTTCAGCAGTAAATACATTTCATATTGATATTCGGGTTATGCATCTGCGTCTAGAGGAAGTTTGTGTGGTGGTTTGACACGCCAAAGCTGCCGGATTACGCTTGTTCTACTGGAATGGGGTAGAGTGAATATTGCAATACTGGGCGCTTTTTTCTGGGAACATCGAGCTTATTTCTCCACTTGACTCTAGGATGAACACCAAAAAGCATTCATCAAAAATACTTCCACGCTTTACAGCCAAATTTGGGAGTTTGATGACGTTCTCCTGTATTGTAGAGTCACATCACTTGAGGCGTAGATTGCTTAGCCTCAATGGCGCTCGCCGTACCCCTGTTCATGCATCTCTCTTAAATCAGGCTCTACAAGCCTATGTGCTCGATGGTTGGTCCCATAGCTGTCGACAATCATGGATTTCCAATTGATGAATCACTTTCATGGACACCAATTGGCCACATTTAAATCAGACCTGCCCCTTGACCGGTTAGCTATTATAGCTGGGTGCTCCCTTGGCCGGTTCAGACTCGTCAAGCTCATCGGAAACTTGGAATGATGAGGCTTATCAACGTTAAGACGTATCAACTTGAAGAGCATTACAACAACCCTCCCAGATATGCCATCCTGTCTCACACATGGGGTGATCGCGAGGTGACGTTCCAAGACTGGCAAATGAGTGCCGAGGATATGGAGAACACGGAACGATACGACAAAATCATACGGGCATGTAGGCAAGCCCAGGCAGATGGTGTCGGGTACCTCTGGTGTGACACAAATTGCATCGACAAAACAAGTTCCACGGAGCTGGCGGAGGCGATCAATTCAATGTTCTCCTGGTACAAGAACTCGGTAGTTTGTTACGCCTACCTTGCGGATGTGCCGCCCATCGATACGAACGGCCACGACCCATTGTGCAATTTTCGCTCATCTCGATGGTTCACTAGAGGTTGGACCTTGCAGGAGCTCCTTGCACCTACATCCCTGTGCTTTTTCGCTCAAGATTGGTCAATGATTGGGTTGCGAGATGAGCTCGCTGGGGAGATTTCCACCGTGACTGGGATCGAGGAGATCTATTTGGGAAGCGATTTATCCACTGCCAGCATTGGGAAACGCATGTCATGGCTGTCCAATCGGCAGACTACGAGAGTTGAGGATCTAGCGTATTGCGTGTTTGGAATATTCGACATCAACATGCCTCTTCTGTATGGTGAGGGCGAAAAGGCTTTTATTCGGCTGCAGGAAGAAATCATACGGATCTCCAATGACCAGACCATCTTCTGCTGGACCTGGGATGACCAATATCTTCCTTCGGACTGGGCTAGTATCCTCTCTCCATCACCCAGGACATTCAGAAATGCTGGGTATTATTCATACAACTCCTGGCGGAATGAATCTGCCCCTTACATCATGACAAACGCCGGCCTATCGATCAGTCTGCCAGTTCTTGATCTGATCAAGGAGAGAGTTGGACCTATTGAAGGGTTTGAAAATCTTCTGGCTGTTCTAGATGTCAGGCCTAATTCGCCTAGTCACCAAGTAGCGTTGCTCTTCCACAAGACATCCGGAAGTGATCGATTTAGAAGAAGCCGTATACTTCCAGGGCCGGTGCCGATCTTCCGGAATCCTGGTCTCTTGAAGAGAAGCATGTACATCGCCGGGAGCAGAGATCGTTGGCCGCTGAAGCACATTGTGCACAAGTACCCGGAATACGGGGTTCTTCTGACAATGGACTGCTGCGAAACACTGCCTCAGTCTTTCACCGTTTCCTCGCCCAAACTCGAGTCTGGTATTCTGAGTCTTGACCAGTCTGGAGAGGCTGGGTATTATGGACGCTTTTTAACGATTGAAACGTCCGAGGGACTTAATAGGAAAGACCATACCGGAGACGGAATGGCCTGCAAGATCTCTTTCGGTGCGCAAATCCGAGACGGGAGCACCGACTGGTGTACGAAAATCGTTGGAGCAAAGGTTGCCCATGATTCAAGCAGCAGCAGCCGTAGGTCTGGCAATCCGAAGAGAACCATTTATGACGAGAAGACGTGGAAATATCAGTTCCCACCAGACCGAGATCCCATGTCGGACTGGATGAGAATACAGAGATTTAATCTCGTAGCCTCAGTCCATCTTAGTGCAAGTGTTCAAGTAGCAGAGAATTCAATGCTCGCTGTGGCGAGGATACGAGTTGCTCAACTGGATACATCACCCCCGGATACATCATTGGAAAAGACGAATGAGCATGATTGGATGAAACGGAAGGGAGAAGACGTTCATGGTCAGAATAGACTTGTCAAGGCGGAGGAGGAAAATAATTCTAGATTTAGCACAATCCTTAGGTCGTTTAGCTATAAGAATGCCCAGTGGTGGGAATGAGTCTCAAACAGGAGCTATTTACCGGAAATATCGTCAAACTTGGATCTGGAGGTCAAAGAAGAAGCCATGAATACCTTAATCTTTGTATTTATTGGGAAAATATGGTAGTTCTGACCGAGTTATGCTCTGATATGTTACTTTGATTGTAGCTATTTTGGTTGATGCAGGCTCCACTGTGAAGCTTACAAGAGCTAAACTGAATACCAGCCACATCTCACTAACTCCGCTAATCCCGATCACATGTGGTGGAATTATCTCCTCTTGCGGCACGGTTGATTGCCAACATCATGAGCTCATCGATTGTTTTCTGCGGATCAAAGGGACCACCGTGCCTCGAGCCCCTACAACTATGAATTTCCAGTTCATCGACAATAATACCGGCATAGACCGAGGGGCAAGAAAGCTGATCCGTAGCCATGCCTCCAAGGGCCACAAAGTCGGCAAGAAGCGGTCGTCTCATTTGGCACAATTACGACGGAGGCCTACGAAAACTGCTTTGGTCAAGCCTCTGCTCACGGACGTTGATTGCGACCCGGAACTCAATGAGTCCGACTCTTCTAGTCCGATTCACGATTCTATGCCACTCCTGAGACTACCAGTTGGAGATTTCATAACATTTCCTGGAGAGCTATCAGCAAGATCCAGATGCCACGTGAAAAACTGTATGAATAAAGAAACAAGCACAAGGTTGTCTGTTTAGAGTGCTAACGTGAAACAGTCTTATGTCAGATCACTCACAGTATAATGTCGGAAGACCTGGGTGGGAGAATCGATACGCGAATCCCGGTCCGATCAATGTGGGTTCAAAATACCTTTACAAATGAAGCCTGTGAGTATTGGACGTCGAAGTCATAAACGTCGAACAGATAACTGAGACAAGACAGATTTCCATTCCAATGTGGCGGTCTCCATTGCAATATTCGAACCTGAAGCCGCGAGAAGTGGCACAGATCCAGAAATCCTGCGCCATTTCTCACGATCACTGCATCTCGTCAATGAGAGACTATCAGGACGACATGCTTTAGATAATTCAACTCTTATAGCTATTGTTGGATTATCTCAGTTTGAGCGAGTTCAGGATAACTACGAGGAAGCTCTGGTGCATGTCCAGGGACTGAACCGCCTGGCTCTTCTTCGGGGTGGAATTGCCGGATTTCGAGATCATCCAGCTCTTATGCAGAAACTTTTCAGGCAAGTCTTTTCACATAGAAGTCTATTTGAAAATTATCTAATGCAACCGATAGAGCGGACCTCGAAATCGCTCTGTACTTCGGAACCGCGACCACCTTTCGTGCAGAAGACCTGCCCAGCCAGAGTGTGACCCTATGGCTACGGAATCTATACAAGAAAGATAGGCAAAGCTATTACAAGAGCCAAAAGCTGGCTTTGGGGCTGGACGATTCCCTTCAAGCAATTTTCTTAGACATCATGAGCTTAGCAGCATTTATCAGTGGTCGCACGCCATGCCCGACGAAGCTTCAGATCTACCCGTTCCACGATATGATAATATTCTTGGGATTTCGTCTGCTTGAAACCCGCCCGTTCAACCAAGCTGAACTGACCACAACATACCAAAGCTTGATGCATCTGGCTCTAATAGGCTTTTTAACGACATTTCTACGAGGGCTTGCCGGTAGAGCATCCAATTTCAAGGCTGTGACGAGCTCACTCCGGAAGGCCATCCTGGAAGCACCCATTGAAGGGTACCATTTCCAAAAGCTCGTTCTCTGGTCTGCCTTGATAGGAGGACACGTTCTTTTCAACCAGAATGATGAGCACTGGCTTGTACCGCGGCTTGTCGAGGTTAGTTACGCCTTGAATATTGACGCATGGAGTGGTGTTGAAGAAGTTCTGATTGAGTTTCCCTGGATTCCATCAATTCATAACCAAAAGGCCAAGCGATTATGGAACATGTCAAAAGAGGGCTGTTTCGAGCGTAAAATAACAGCGGAAATGATCTCATGGGGATAATTTTATAAATGATTCAGAAATAAATTGCAATAAAAGGATGGTACACTAGTAATCTCAATGTCTATGCCAGCGCCTTGTCAACGCATCCAGGGGCGACTCGGTTTAGTTCCGCAGCAATGGCCTCCCAAATCTTCTTCTGCTCAACTTGACCTTCGCTGTCTTTGATATAGTCAGGTACACGATGGCTGATTGAAATTTCCATTAGCAGCAAGTTCTTGGTTTAGTGGAAGGATGGATGGCTTACTCTTGGATGAGGCAAGATCCAGATAGGCGACCGTGACTCTCCTTTCCTTGAACTGCTGCCGCAATAAGGGTGCGGCTTCCCATCTCAGGAGTTCTCCCAAAATAGGTGTTGCGTTCATTCTCAATGACGTCGGCTAGCTTTGGGTCTACGTTGGAGGTTAGATTGGTGTAGCACAAGCCGGGATCGAGGTAGTTGATGACGACGCCAGTACGCTCCACGGGAGCCAGAGTAGCGAGGTAGCGGCCAGCATAGATCTCGATCAACTTGGTGAGAGGATATCTATTGTTCAATTATTGTTAGATGCATTTCATCATTTGATTTTTACCAGATGTCGGTGTCAGCAACTTACCTGCCCATCATCCCGTTCTTCTCGTCGTCCATCTTTGTAAACAGGTCATCCTTGAGGCTCATGAAAACTGGCTTAGCCCGCACAGCTCCGCCACTGCTCACAATGACCAGGTGGGGGAGAGTTCCAAACTTGGCAGCGCTCTCTCTTAGCTTGGGGAGAAGCAGAATTCCTAGCAAAAAGGTGCTGTAGACGTTGATTGTCACGCTGCTCTCATGGCCCTCCGCCAGGACAAACTTATCGAGAGCAACTCCCGCATTCTCAATAACGGCATCGATCCTCTCGAGTTTCTCGGTAACCTTGGATGCAAAGGCCTTGACAGAGTCGTAGCTCGACAGATCCAAATGCCAGACCTCGGCAATTCCAGAGGTTGAGGTGGCAGCCTCGATTTCGGCCTTGGCCTTCTCGCCGGAGACAAGGTTTCTGACGGCCAGGATGACCTTGGCGGCACCTAGAGCGACATAATGTTTGGCAGCTTCAAGGCCAAGTCCGGAGTTGGCACCGGTCACGATGTAGGTTCCGCCGGCGGTGTTTTCTTTTGTGGCGAGGATGGGAAGATCTCGCTTCTGGTCTGCGATGACTTCTTCGGTCCAGAACTCAGCCATGGTGTATGATGTATGATGGACTATGAGGTTTATAGAGTGGAGAAGCAAGGTTCTTGGTGTAAGAGGTCGAGTTGTAGTCAACCTTTGGAGTTTGTTGTTCTTCTTGCATCAGGCTTGAGATACAACGACCTTTTATATATCGAGAGACCACATTTCCCAAAGATGAGATTCGGAATTTACGACTTATTTCCATTATCGGCGGAAACCATAGTCGGGAATCTGGAGATGGAATGACACTTCTAATGCAAATCCTCTTATCCGGATCAGCCTTCAACCAATCAACTTCTGGCAGCCTAATAAAGCCTAGTGGATTGAATAGTCTCCACTAATTCCATACAAAATGGCCAATTAACTTCCGGCAGCCTATTTAGGTGTAGCGCACATTTTGCCATCAACCAATTTCACCAATCAGAATTCATTCTGGACGGCTGCTTGTTCGTACGTCGGACTGCCTTACATAAATAATTTGAAAGCAGATCCATTGATGACGACTTTCCTCTATCGTGGGTTAAAACCTTATGGGAGAAGACCTGATAGCTGTGTTTTTTCCTTTGATTTTTTTACTTTTTCATCTTGTCGGTCGGATAATCAGCATGATCACTGTTGGTCTTCTGACTTGAGTTTTAATGTAAATTATTTTGAATTCTAAGCCATATCTCTCTATTGTGATCTTACCTACCTATAATAAAGAGTTATCGCCGCAGCTAAAACATCCTCGAATATTATCCGAAGTAGCAAAAATATCTAAAAGCTCAGTAATAGAAGACCAAAGCCCACCGCCGTTCAAGAATAAAGCGAAAACAAAAAAGCCAATATTGGCAGTAAACAGCATAATACTCCTCCAGTTCTCAAAGTAGCGTCCCTTGTAGAGGTGCATCCAGAGGAAAGTGCTGATACCGTACGTGAACCAAGCGTAAGTGGTAGCTGAACTAACAGCGAGGATAGAGTCGAAGACGGGGATAGCATTGGAGAGAATAAAGACGATGATCCAGAAGGCAGTGTTGCTGCCTATCCAGACACCCCATGACTTGGGGGTATTTGCCGTGACTTCCTTGACGGCATTGATCTGGCGCATGATGGTAACAAAGACATACTTGGTGCCGATGTGGCCGCAGGCAAGACCGTCAGTCAAGATGGCTGGGAGGACGAGTCCGTAGGCTACCTTGGCAGCGACAATAGGGGCGGAGCTGAGACAAGGCGAGGCGGTAAACTCGGCAGCGAGGCAGTAGACAGTGATGGCGATGAAGCCATAGAAAGCAACAGATGCACCCATCAGCCATCTAAGAGAGTAGATAAAGTCCTTCTCGGGGTTCTTCATCTCAGCCATATAAGTAACAAAGGCGTAGTTACCAGCCAAGGCAAAGAGGATCTTGAGAACAGCGTTGAAGACCTCGCGAACGGTTGGAGTCCCAAAAAGCTCAATCTCGGGTTTCCAGCCTTCCGACGCTCCGGGAGGGTTGCTTATACCGAGGCCGATCATGGTAGCAAGAGCAGCCGCAAGGATACTGAGGATGCAAGGGAGGCCATTCTGAGCTAGGAACTTGGCAGTCCGGGGAATGCAAAGCAGAAAGCAAAGAATGCAGGCAATAGCAATCCAGCCAACTGTGCAGATAGCATGCTCGCTAATGGCATTTAAAGCAATAGAGATGGTAACAACTGCAGATGAGGCAGTCATAATGAGCTGTAGTAACAGGCCAATGCCAGTAACAATTTCTGCTGGGCGACCTCCGATGATCTTCATCATCTCAGCGATATTGGTGACTTTGGGATGGGCCACGTAGTACCAGAAGATCTCAACACCACTGAAGTAAGTGATGAGGGCTCCGCCGATGAGAGTGATGAGGCCGGGAATAAGACCAAGAGTCTTGAAAACCGAGGGGAGAGCAAGCGCTCCGAGGCCAAACTGGTTGGTGAGGAGGGCAAAGACCGTGTCGAAGCGGCCCATGGTACGGAAGTTCGCGCCACCCTCACCCCCAAAGACGTCGACTTCTTCATCGGGGCAGGCGGGCTTGTGGTCTAAGCCTTCATGGTCGGTAGTGTCGCTGTGATCTTCTTTGCTGTGTTCCGTCATCTCATTCTTGTTCGACATCATGTCGTTGGTGGTGTTGTGTGTTCGGTAAGAGACCAAACAAAGTGTCTGGTCCAGGCTGTGGTGTTTTGTTGGTTTTTGGTATGGTGAGAGCCTTTACCGGTCTCTTGGACCGAGGTGTAAAGGTGTTGATGGTGAAATCTTATTCAGATGAGTGTTCCAAGGTTGTGTTACTGGTGCATCTGAGAGCAGAGACGAGTAAGAGGATAAGCATAACTGAAAGTGAAGCAGTCAGACTTGAGGTAATATATAGTTCAAGAGGCGTAGGGCGACGAAGGCCAATGCAATATTGAGCGCCATGTTGGAGTTCCAGGACATTCTCTGCTGACGCGAGTTTCAAAATCTCTCCACGGTGATATCATAGGGCTCGAAACGCTCCAAAGGAATAACCTCCGAATCTTCCCGGGTGACTAGACCAACAAAAGGCCAGCGCGTCCCTTTACGAATGCGGAAAATGGAATGCCTGATACCGGATATCGTCAATATTCCGGCGTTGAATCATGAGACATTGGACAGGAAAAGGGTCTCGATCGCTTGCGAGCCCAACCCAGACCATCCGCGACAGAGACTTTGCTGACCGATAGAGATCCTTGGATAAGGTCTGCGGGAATTAGTTGAGACCCTGGATCGTTAGCACCTTCGGATGACCGACGCGAGGATTTTTGATACATAGTCCACTTCGGGAAGTCGTCCATACGGTGATACGCATTTACAGGGCTGGCATCGCAGAGACATGGATGATTCCATGAAACAGCGATGGAAAACAATTCACGCATGGCCTGTGCTTCTTCGCCATCGAAGAATGAAATTCCCCCGAGGGCATCCTGGAAGGACACGGCCCGCGGCAACTAAAGCACGGTTCCGAAAGAGCGGCAGACGTTGGTCACGAACAAGCTTACTCTAAGCTTATTGCAAGCTTTGACATCAATGACATGCTACCCGAGACTATTCGAGACTCCCTTGGCATATCTGTGAGGCCTCCCGCCTTCCAAAACTCTTGGTATGCAGGGCGTTTGTGGGGAGATTCTTGGCTGCACGATCGGGAGACGGGCCACGATGCGGCAAGCAGGGGTCAGATGGGTGTATATTTATCTCGCATCGTGTTTGATGCCTTATAATTGTAATTTATTGGTCTTTGTGACGCTGATACCTTCCAGACTGGCATGATTCGTTGGAAAACCTTGGAAAAGCATGTGCTTCCCAGATGAGGCGTGTACACCCGTGCCTTGGCGACCACGCCGTCAGATCCGAATTTGCAGAGATGATACGGTGTCTCCTGAAAGGCTGGACTTCAGTGACTTCAGAGGGAGTCTTCACACCACGCCACTTGATAAACCCACCCCGTACGAGAAATATCTCACGCAAGATGCCACTTGGCGAGTTCCCATAAATAGAGTGAGTGGTCGATCAAGGACTCTGTGTAATATCACTGGTTCGTGAAGAGACTCACCGTCTTTCTGGTCTGACGAATGGTCACCCAATTCTCACCGAAACATCTTGCGGGACATTTCTTCGTTGCTCGAGGCTATTTGCGGAATGACCGGGGATATATCCTTGCGGTCAACCTCGCTTAACTCTTGGCCCTGGATAAACGGCAACTGTTTTCACGCCACTAATGTAACGTTAAAATTATGTTTATCCCTTCCAGGAGAAATCGCGTGTTCCATCGATCCGCACCAAGGTTAAACTCAAGGTTGTTCAGCAACGCAATCGTGAGCTAACACAACGGCACAACGGCACCTCCTTTCAACCCTCTCTCCATTCTTGCGCCCGCAACTCGCCCCTTTCTCTCAGTCAACACACACGTCCACCGCCTGCGCCCCCTTTCTCGTCAGAGTCGTCACGAACCAACGCCCATCCTCTGCGCTCCTCCTTTCGTCGACCTCAGCGCCTGTTAGGCTTTAGCCGTGTCCCCGGAACTTGTCTCGCATCCCGCCACAGCCATTCTCAGCTGCTCACTCTCGCCATGCCCGCCAACACTCGTGTCCCTTCCTCATTGTCCGTCTCGTCCTCGGCCTCATAACACGCATCTTACCACAGCCACCACTCTCGTCGCTTCATTCCCAATATCGATCTTTGCCAAAGAGCATAGCGCAGCGGTAGATTGACATGATCAATACGAAATCCGCCTCAAAGTCAACAGTCTCCCATAATCGACCCGGCTCGACGATGCCGCCATTGCCATCCCACAATGCTACGCGACCTGAAATGATAGACCAAAGCCCGGCGCTCGCCGTGAGTCACGTCTTGTGAGCAGTAAAAGGTGTCCAGCTGACACCAGAGGTAGGGCTGCCTCGTATGGGATCAATTGCGATATGGCCTCGAACTGAGACCTGGAACGATCGAGACAAACAAGAGGAACATCATTCATCAACCGCGTGACTCCAGCTAACCACCTGAGTGCCCTGATCACGAACTATTGGTGCGTGACCAAAGAATAGTACGCGAGGGGGTTCTTCTTGACGTCTCGACGCAGTGCATGTGATTTGCTTACAAGACCATGGCGAGCTTCCGGAACAACTAAGATGAGTAACTAAATCTGTAGATTTTATAGCCGACTAATAAACGGCAGTAATTTTTGTACCAAATGAGCACTCAACGCAAGACTGTGAGAGCGTATGACGTTGAAATGGAGCAATATGAATAGATTTATGATAGCAACTGCTCATGCAGCCCCCAAAGCCTTGGTACAGTGGTTGAGCCAAACTGCATAGACTTGACAGGAAGAAGTAGGAAAGCCGCAGACACATAGCAGTAGCTAGGTGGTGCGGTGGGACGGATGCATTTGCGTTTATTGATGTTATATACGAAAATAAAACATGCCCGGTTAGGAATTGGGATATATTTCCAGGGCAATGACAATGAAGAGTAAGAAAAGTAGCGTTCGATTGGGGTGGGTGATGCAGTGTCTGTAGGGTTAGACATACTCGATTGGCGAAGTTCAGGCGCGGGAGTTAAGTGATGCAGCCGTTGAGCACAGATCGTTTAGTAGACATTGCGTACAAACGAGGGCGCAGAAGGAAGAACCTTTTCGTTCCTCAAAAGGCATTGGTTCCCGAGAATCTGCTATGGCTGGTTCTGGTTGTTCACCAAGGCTGCATATTCTTCTCTCAGAGCGGCGACCTCGGGATCCACCTCCCGCCAGTACTCGTCAGTTTGGGTCGCCAAAATACTTGGTAGATACTCGGCTGGCCTTGGATTATGTGGCTTTTCTTGAGACAACTTGATCCCCGGTGCTTCGTATAGCTCAAAGTCGGTTGATGCAAACCCCGTATTGTTGCCCCGGATGTCAAGCCACTGTGCCCGGAGATCTGGGCTATGTATTGGAGAGCAGATGGCATCTACTCGGTGATTCCCTTGGTTGAATGCCGGAATGAGATCGTAAATGCGATTTTCAATTGACTGGGATATAAGTTCAATATGCACAATCGATGGGTCGTAGTTGAGCTGGATCTTGTCGGGATCTGTGTCGCAAAGAAGCAGCTTAACATGCTTTAGCTTTCTAAACCGATGCCCTTCCTGAATGGTTAGGATGAGCTGCTGGATCTGATCGAGAATTAACTCGCTAGATCGATGGATCTCGAGATACTCTAGATTATCCGGGAGGCAGTCTATGAGCCTTGGAGGTCCATCAAGTTGCAGCGATGAGGCGTCACTGGCATCGTCGTTACTATTGGGACTATCTCCATTGGAAAGAGCAGTAACAGAACACATCCCTGTTGTGAGTCTCTTGAGAGCTATCATCTTATGAAGCTCGGTGCCCATATAGGATAGCTCATGTTCACTAGGAAGAGCTGACCAGTGCCATTCCTCCGCCATATTGAAATGAAGGATCTCGAGAGATTCCGCGTGGGGTAGGATAGCCCTAAGTACATGCTGCGGCAGCAGCTCCTCCACCGAGCTTCCATGGAACCCGCGTGTGATTTCAAGTCGCTTGACCGCCTTACAGGCGCCTAGCATGCCTTGGAGCCTCCGTGGAGAGACGTAGGATCGGCGAAGAGCAATATCTTGCAGAGACGAGAACTTGACCGGGAGCTTTTGAAACCACCATCCCACATCGTCGCCCATTCTGACATTGACGCCCTCAAAGGACCGTAGTCCAGGCAGTTTGAGGAAGTGGCCAGGGCTGCGGTCGATGTTGATTTCCTCGTGGTCAACATCTAAAGACTCGTGGGACTCAATGTAGATGTGACGAAGTCGAGATAAGGGAGGCTGGAGGCTTGTCCCAAGGGGAGCGATAGGCTTTTCTGCAAGTTGTATCACACGCATAAAGTGACGCTGGTTGTTGGTGGTCTCGAAGTAGAGGCTGTGGATATTCGGACAAGAGATCAGAATGAGCGCAACCTGGGCATCACTGCAACCCATTTCTAAGTCCTTAATCCATTCATCGGCGATGACTTTCTTATGGTCGTCATAATCATCATTTTTGTTGAAAATATTCCTGATGTATTGTCTGTATAGCACAAGCTCTTCCGGGCTGTACTCATCGAAGATTGAGCCCTCTTGTTCTTCTCTCCCATCAATATCCTCATCCGTAGCTGGGACATCGTAGCCCATGTTGGGATCTGCGGAGAATGAACCAAGGATCAGAACATGAACAAGCCTTGCTAGTTCAGGCCTCGTAGCCAGAATACAGCGTAGAAACTGTGCATTGCGGCGCTCAGAACAGAAGCCGGTACTTTGCGGAGGTACATTTCGAAATGTGCGTAGCAAGAAGGGCAGGGCTAAATGATATAGTTGTTTGCAGGTGCGAAGCAGAGCATAAATTGATGGCTGATCCAATGGTGAGGCGAGGCATGACAGGATCTGTACCTGGAGTTCTTGAGGTAGTCGTTGAAGGAGATTTGGGCAAGGTGACCCTGCTACTTGTTCCATCTCAAATATCCCTCGCTGGGGTCTCTGAACGATGCCAAAGTCGCCAGTCTGCAAAGAACACTTCGAAGCTCTTTTAGGCTCGTTATTTTGCTACTCTTCTTACCCTTTTCAAAGAACAGGCGAGTTCAGAAGCTAGTGAATTTACTGAAAGCAAAGGTGCGGGGAATAATTTCATATTGGCTTATGACATCTTCAAAGTTCTCTGTTGGTTCCAGGCAGCAGTGACACAAACCTTTTAAAGTCACTGATCCTGGGAAGGAACACGTGTCTCCATAATCCAGCCCCGCTGCGCCGAGGAAACGTCGAATTCTGCCGTTGAGCAGATTTCTCGTAAACCCGTACCAGTTTTTGCTTTAATGTTGACTTTCGCACTCAGCATATCCGCCCCCACATTGCTCTTAGTATCCGCACATTGAACAGTAGCATTGCTGCTGAAAGAGCGGCAAAAGCACTACTAGGAGAAATCAAATGAATCCTCAAGGTTTCTCTTATTGATAAATTTAGGATTCATATTCGCGAAAAGTAGGAGATCATAAAATGCATTGTGCAATAGCTCAAATCTGTCCTGACTTTTGAATTATATCACGTCCTAACAATTGGTCTTGGGGTGAGGATTATCAAGCTCAAATCCCGCTTTTGATTCTTATCGTTATGCCAGAGTTAAGCAGGAATAGAGTCCAGTCCCAATGGATTTGGTTCTCATTTTATGAGAACTCTTTAATTACACGCCAATCGTTGATGTTAATTGCCATGAGAAACCTGATATGCCTGCATGACCACTTGCGCAAACGTCAATGTCACACTCAAGGAACCGAAAATGCCAACCAACCAAAACGTCCAGAATTGTAATGTGTCCCTTCTGTCCTTCAACAGCCCAGATATTGACTTCGGTCGGGTTCCATTTAGTTCTTGAAAGAGCAGTTCTATTCGATCGTGCAGGACTGAGAAATCTCGAGCTGCATAGTAAATGTGTCGGTCTACCGGAAGTGGGAAGTCTCCCAGTTTCGCGGGAACCTGCTTCTGGGAGCATAAGACTGCCAGAAGCGTATCTGGTTGGGGACAGGGGAGTTTCTGCGGGTCAAAAGTTTGTCGAAAGACTTTACGGGATTTCTTTGATTGACCAAACAATAGACGGTAGGATAATAAAATCTCTCCTAGCAAATGTGCGATATCGCTCTCATTCGCTCGCGGGTCCGCTGCCTCGGCCTCCATGCTTGCAAATGCAAAAATTGATCCTCCGTCCCTTAGCTGCGATACACATATTGATGGGAAGCAGAAGAGCGATAGAGTGCGACTCGACTTATCGAAATCCAGATGCAGAGAAATAGAGTCTACCCAGCGAAACCGGACGCCAAGGAGTGTGGTAAGGAGATAGGCATTCACGTCGCTCGGGTAAAGTGGAATCCATGATGCCACAGCTTTCTTACTTAGCACAGAGGTTTCTTGGGGGGTTTGATATCCTGCCGGCAGGAGATTTCCGAACCCCTTTAGTAAGGCGAACAAGGGACGGTCGCACAAATTAGCGGACATTTTGTATGTGTAGAAGACAAACTTAGAATCAGGAAGAGAGTCCTCATGATAGATGGCCAGTTGAGTGGAAGGCCCGATAGTTAGATCCGGCTGATACAGCATTGACTGCCAGCCTAAAATGCTGAAGATGAGCCCTCGAACGCAATTGTGAGATTTGGTGTCGGTGTAATTGATCGAACCCGTCGACTGTAAGTATTCAATAATGTTGTCAACGCTCAATCCTTTACGTTCCTTCACGTATTGTCCTACTTTATCCATCAGACGATGGAGGACCCCTGGTTCTGAAATCTGCTCGCCATCGAGCGTTATTTGGCGATAAGTTAGAGGCAAGTTCTGGACCCGTGAAGAAAGCCAGAAGGAATACCACGATAGGTCGACAGTGATATTCCGGTCACTATGGAGAGTACTCCTTCGCGAGAGCATCGTCTTGCCGCTCAGCCGACGGGCACCAGCGGTCACGGCCCGAGTCAGCCGCCTTGGTTTCAGTGGGTTATTGTTCACTTACTGCGTCAGCGTTTAAACTTCTTTCTTTATGTTAAGACGATTCGCCAGTGGGCCTTACTCACGGTCAGTTGTGGCAGGAGATGAGGCTTCATTGGAGTCTGCTCCGTTCTCTTGGCCGGCGGCATCTCCATTTTCATCGGTTTCGTCCAACCTGTTCGGCATGGTGGGGGGGAATTAGATAGAAGATCAGGGCTAAATTGTTTGTTTATGAGAGAAACGCAGTCAATAAATCGAAGGGTGCCAGCATGCAATGCAATGGCCAACAAGAATCAGTCTCAGAGTGGGCGCTTAAAATGCCATCAAACCGACGCCACGTACCACATCCAAGGCACCGTTGCTCCGCCTCATCCAAGAAAACGCCTGTCTTAAACGCCCGGGGATTTCAAGGCCCACTTGGCTGCATACACTGAAGCTGAAGGACGCAGCGTTCATCATTTATGTAGCCTTTGGCCGCGCAAATGTGTATGAATGCTACTGTAGGCACCTTGACGACAGACTAAAATAAGCACCTGATTATTTTTTTGTTATTGTTTTTTTTGTCCAAAACAATAAACTAGCAAGCGCTTTTGGATCTTTTTGTCAGCTGTTGAGAAGCACAGGCGTACCATTTCAAGAGGCTGCATGGCTTTTTGCTCTTGGTGCTGGAAAACAGGGATATTATGCAGGAGAGTGGGCAGTCGCTCTGCTGGCCTTCCCCCTCTTCTTTGGAGCTTTGGAGTCGTTGCCTAGGGCATTTCACGATCTCTGCCAATAAGGTAGCCTAGGCTGATAATTGGTTAAGCCAGTTGCATATCCAGGCGAGCTCCCAGAGGGTTACTCAACCGTCCCAATGCGCCTCGAAACCATTCCCGAGGAGGGCACCGAAGACAACAACCATGTCGATCATTCGGGCCCCGCAAATCTCATCTGGGAGAATACAATAGGCAGATACTATGGTGAACTTCGCAAAGGAGGGATCGAGCCGTCAGCTATTGACAAAGAGTTGTGGAATATTCAAAGCCCGGAGGATCTTCTCAACCAGATTGAGTCGCTCGAAGAAGAAGAAGAACAAGTCTCACAGTCCATCCCCTTGGCCCGTGCCATAACCCAATTGAGGCCTGTACTTACTGCCCTGAACGATTTTGTTGCCGTTACCTCATGGGTCATGGGCACGAATGCCAAAGTTGCCGCAGTGTTATGGGGCTCTTTTAGATTGGTTTTGAAGGTGCGTTGCTCTATCATCAGCTAACCATGCAATATCCTCGAGGCTAACATCTTAGTTTAATAGTTCGCCCAGCCGGTCCTCCCCGATGTCATCGCCATGATTGAGAACCTAGAGCAAGCGCTGCCTCGAGTGCAACAGTGCGGCAAAGGTCTTCCCATGGCACAAGAGTTGGAAGGACCACTGTCGGACGTGTATGGCGAGATGATCGCGTTCTGCGCGCATGCTATAGTCGTACTTCGCAACTCCCCCGACATTGGGCGCAACAAGCTGGTGCGATCTAAATTCTCCAAAGATATATCTCGGATTATCGAAAATGTCCGAGAATTTTCCCAACAGGTAGACAAAATCGCAGGGGCAATAAGGCTCTTGAGGCAAACAAAGAACACAGACACCATTGCCGCACCTCAGGGCTCAAAAATAGCTAAGGAGCCCAAGGATACCAAACTTCCTTGTTTCATAGTACCTTATGGAATGAACTTGAGATTCTTTGGCCGGGAGGATGAGTTGGCTATTCTGAGACAGACTCTTGATCCATCGTTCGGGACCAGGCTACGTGCTATTCGCGTTCATGGACTGGGGGGCGTTGGCAAAACACAGTTAGCCCTCCACTATGCCAATACGTCTAGAGACATGTATGAAATAATTGCATGGATTTCTGGAGAGACAGATATCAGAATTTTGCAAGGATTTGCAAGTCTAGCTTCAAGTCTTGGGCTTGTCGAGGATTCTGACGAAGACAACCATCGCAGCCTCCAAACAGTGCTCAAATGGCTCAACAAGACAGATTCCCCATTCCTTCTCATTTTTGATAACTTAGAAAAGTCCGAGTTTCTCAATCAAGTGTGGCCGACGAGTGACAAGGGGTCAATTCTAATCACTACTCGCTCCCCTTCACAAGCCTGGAAGCAGAACCCGGTCGACCTCGCATTGAGCCCCTTCTCTATTGAAGCAAGTAAAGGCGCCTTCAAGTGGTTGTCAGGAGTAGTTCCTGTAGACCAAAAAGACGAAGCGGCCATGGAAGAATCCTGTACCCTTATAGGAGGGTTACCGCTGGCCATGATACAGGTTAGCGATTTCATTCGCGATCTTAGCTGCTCATATGCAGAGTTTCTGGAGATCTACAAGAAATCAGCTGAAAGGCTATTTCCGAAACTTGACATTCCCATCGATTACAATGCTACTGCGTTGACAACATGGGAGGTTTCAGTAGAGAGGTTGTCCGAAGACGCCAAAAATTTACTAAACCTACTCGTGTTCTTTGACCCAGGCCTCATCCCCGAGTGCTTTATCTTTGATACCAAGGCTGGAATTGAAGACCCATGTTACGAATTTCTAGTGGATGAGTTCGAGTAGGTTCTTTTCTGCAAACATCGCCCTTGAATTCCACTGCGATTAAGCTAATGCATCAAAAAAATAGCTTTATGGAGGCCGTCGCTGAGCTATGGGGAACTTCGTTGATTCGCCGTCTACGATGCCCTAAAGCACTTTCCCTTCATCGCATAGTCCAACTAGCCGTCTTTTCAAAAATTTCTAAGGATCGTAGGGTTTATCTATTCGACCTCGCGGTTGAACTTCTCTCATCCGACTTGCCAAACTCTTGGGAGACCTGTGACGCCGTAATACCTCATATTATTTGGTTGAAGGGACTAAGCGACAAATACAAAATCAAGCCCGAAAACATGGAGAAATGGGCTGAGTTGGTGTTTGGAGCTGGAACGTAAGTTCATGCTGCCGACTCGTTGTTGTTTCATTCTGACAAGTTTGATTTAGTTACCTTTGGGAACAGCAGCAGCCTGCTCTTGCAAAAGTATTCTTCCAGTACTGCCTTCATGGAGGTTCGGACAAACCTGACCAGATATCTGCACAGGCGCACACACTGATAGGCCATGTCTATCTTGACATGGCGCAGCCACATGCCGCACTCGATGCTTACAAAAAGGTCCTCACTTTGCGGGAGTTTATCAATGGCGTCGACTCAACGGCTGTGGCAGATGTGTGCGACTCAGTTGCCTGCTCTTACACCGAATTTGGCGATACTGACAACGCGTTCAAGTATCTGCAACGAGCCACTGATATCCATAATTCCCATGATCCTAATCGGATGGCTCGCACTCTAGCTATTGAGGCGATGACATACCTTCGTGCTAGGAAGCCAGACGAATCACTTGCCGCCCTCTTCAAATGCTGGCAACTTCAAGGCAAGACGCAACAAGAGATCGAGAATTCACCCTACCCCAAGCATAGTGGCGATATAATGCTTTTGTCACGAATTTATTGGCAGCAAGGGGAGAAGAAACGAGCTCAGGAATTGGCTTCCCATGCCCTCAAGATGCGTCGAGACAGTTTCGGAGAGAGCGGGGGACCGCGGGTAGCAGACTCGCTCTTTGCGCTGGCCCAAATTCTGGAGGACTTTGAGGAATACGCACACGCCGCACAGCTATTGAGTCAAATTGTTGCCATAAGCGGTGATACCCCCGACATGAGGCCGCATCTTGCGAGGGCTTACTGGTTTAGTGCTAACGTGGAGGCGAAGATCGATCAGGGGGGCAATCATGTTGCGGAGCTCAGAAATAAAGCCCGAGAAGCGCGGAAGACCATTGATTCGCGTGAGTGGCCGGATGAAGATACTGACGAGGGTTTTATGAGATTAGTAGGATGGATGTTATGGTGATTGCAGCTAGTCCGCTTTCTTGCTTGAGACATAGAGAGCGAGCATATTTAGGGCCAAGACGAAGAAATTCTAGAACCAAAACATACTTATTAGAACTCGACTCTCTCCATCCTATACGCTTCTGAGAGGCTGACTTAGACCCTGAGTGCATATGACACAAGGATAAGATGACTGAGGCTCTTGGTGTGCGAGGCACAGCTAGTATAAATTGCACTGCCTTGTTAATCAAGTCATACTCTACCCTTCATAATTTAATTGACAATTGATTTACCGTAATCTTGTGAGCGGAAGAGGATTCAAGATTCATGTCGACAGAAATAGACGGATGACCTTCTAAAAGGCTTCTAGGACGCATGGAGCTAGTGAGTTTGATCTGATCTTTTCAAATAAATGGGCACTACCGAAACGAAGACAAGTCCGAGCAAATACCGGCATTGCCTTAGATGACAGACGCTGCCGGAAATGAAGGGTGAAGATCTATGTTCTCCACTCAGCCGCGCGCGATTAGCCTGGAAGTCCTAAAAATAGTATCACGAGATCAGGCTTCAAGTTGCCGTCAGAGTTTTCTACCAACATACAGGAGGGCCAAAACTCAAGATGTTAATGGCAATGTTGATCAGTTGTCGCCGTCAGATTGGAATACGCAAGTTGTTGGTATTGACGTTGCGCGAACCAGGCAGCAGAGCCATCCTCCGCCATAGATGCCTTGAAGTCCCGAAATATAAAAAGTGGCCCCATGTCCTGAGACCAGAGTTGCTGTTTTTGGCTCAGCGTATTGCGGACCTGGGCCTGGCTCCGGCCTTGGCTCGGGTCAGCTTATGCTGGTCCGTGACTCTGGTGGGCTGTGAACTGACCTCACCGGCAAGGATCACTGGTCTACGATCGGCGCATAGCATCGATCGCGAAGAGTACATTAACTTGCGGTTATCTCTCTCTTTTTAGTTCATCCCATCTCAACTCTTCCATCAGCCTTATCAACTCAGAACAGAGCTAGACGACTACAGCAAACCTTCCAACGTCCTCACTCCCAAACTCGTCAAGATGGTGTTTCTATTCCAGTTGGTCGCTCAGCTATTGCTGGCCTCTACGGTCCTTGCCGCAAGTATGTTTTGTCTAGAAAAAGTTCTGGATCCATCATTTACTAACTTTGCTTTCTCCAGCAAATCTAGGAAAGGTCATGCCTCTGGGTGCGTCCATTACCTGGGGCAAAGGCTCGACCTTGGGCAACGGCTACCGAAGATTCCTCCATGGCTCCCTGACCGACGCCGGATACACTTTCACCTACGTCGGCAGCCAGACCAGCGGCTCCATGACCAACAACCAGAACGAGGGTTTCCCTGGTCTTCGCATCGGCCAGGTCTACAACGAGCACGCCAAGGCCGATGTCCCCAAGTACAAGCCCGATCTCTACCTCATCAATCTCGGCACCAACGACGCTGTACAAAACTTCCAAGTCGACACGGCCGGCCAGCGCATGGAGGAGCTGATCGATTTCCTCTGGAAGACGACCCCCAACGCCAAGGTTGTCCTCTCTACTCTGATCCGAAGCAACAACGCAGACTACGATGAGCGAATCGTCAAGATCAACGCTCAATACCGGGCTCTCGTCGCTAAGCGCGAGAGCAACGGCAAGATCTTCCTGGCCAAGATGCACGACCCCAACGGACCTGCAGTTGGCGACATCTCGGACGACAAGATCCACCCTAATGATGAAGGCTTCAGGAAGATGTCTGTCATCTTCTTTGACGCCATCAAGAGGGCATACCCTATCAAGAAGGCCCAGGGCTTTACTGCTTAGGCGTATCAAGGATGAATGCTACGAACTTAACGGCCGGGCTTTCTTTTCTTCTCATCTTCAACTATTTATCTAGACAAGGACACGTTTTTGTTCCTTCTCCTTCTTCTTCTTCTTCTTCTTCTTCTTTCTTTTTAACGTCTTCTATTTCGCCCTGTATATACTTTTTACTTTCTTGACCATCTGTCAATTTTTATCAAGCCCCCTTCATAGACATAGACAAACGTGTACTGAATTCTACTGTTAAACAAAAGAAGGATACAAGAGGTCCCACGTGTCTTGATGCTAGTTGTAATTGTCCTGATCTAGAGACTTTCTTATCTAAGGCAATAGGAGAAATATGAAGTGTAACTAACGACATGTATATGCTTCTATCTCTATCGCTGCGCTACCACCAATTTCCTGGCGGCACCTCACAATTTGCTTGGCTCTTGAGCTGCCTCTCTGGCCTGACCCGTCTCGGCACCGCTGTAGATGGAAGCATTTCCACTGTGTACTTGCTCATGCTCAAATTCTCGACCAATCTTCCCGCTTGCACGCCCCTTCTTCTCAAGATAGGCGATCAACAAGATGAGTGGAATGACGGCCGCCCCAGTGGCTAAGCTGGCAATATAGCCCTTCCTGTAGTTCGGTGCGTCGGTGACTGGGTAAAAGATCAACGGCCACCACGTCACAAAGGCAAAGTCAAAGGAATTCATCCACCCGGTAGTGATGGCACGCAGCTGGAGATCATGTGCTGTGACGTCGGCCATCCAGGAGTACCAGATGGCTTGGGGCGCATAGGTTGTACCCAGAAGGTAGAACGCGAAGAAGACGGCACCGTCACTGCTGGGGTTGGATACAAGAATAGCACTGCCCACAACAAAGGTCGCCCCGATAGCCAGAGAGGGCTGCCAGCGGGACTGGATCGCATCGGACCATATTGCATAGAGAATAGTGCCGACAATAGCTGTGGCAAATACGCCGGTTGGGTAGGTATTCTGTTGAATAACAGTATACCCGCGCGACTTCATCCACAGTGGCATGACATTGTTCAACAACATCTGCACGCACAAGGAGTACACTAGATTATTGTTGATAAGGTGAGTAACGATGATATAACAAAAGATCACATGGTTAGGGTGCTTACACATAAAAATAAATGGCAAGAGATAGAACTGCCAGCTCGTCAAGACCCTTCGCAAAACGGTTATATCCCAGGTGAATTCTTTGTGCTTCCCGAGTCTTTCTACGGCCCAGTCCTTCTCCTCGTCGGTGAGAAACCAAGCACTCTTATGGGAGGGCAGGTTAGGAATCACGACCCATCCTGTTGTCCATGTTAGCAACAAGACGCATCATAGCACATGGGTAGATCTCACCAAGAATGACGATTGGTATAGTAATGATAGAGACGATAATGAACAGCCATCTCCAGGCAGCGAGGCCGGCGCGTCCATCAAGGGAGCTGAGCAGACCTGCTTGGATCCAGCCTCCAGTCATACTTCCGAGGTGGCCGAAACAACAGAAGACCGCTGCGCGAGTGCCCAGCTCCGACTTTTTGTACCAACTTCCATAGATGAAATGACCACCGACACTGTCATTTAACAGTTAGATAACGGCAACTACTCAAGTATTTGAAGCATTCAGATTTATAACTTACTAACACACGGCTGCAAATGCACCCTCAAAACCATTGAGAATAAACAGCTGGTAGACATGGTTCATCCTGAACGTCACCAACGTCAACACGCTCCACACCACATTGCAGCCAACAAACACATATTTCGGCTTGAAGACTGTCAAGAGAGACGTCGAGGGAATTTGGGCGACAGCATAGAACACCGTGTATATCGTGTGCATGTAGTTGAAGTCCTTGCCCTTGAAGCCAACGTCCTTCTCCATGCCGCTAATGTAGGCGGTCGAGTAGCTCGAGCGATTAATGCCGAAGAGGAACCACATGAGCGAGAAATAGGGGAGGAGGGTAAAGTCCAGCTTCATGAGCAGTGACCGGTCCCGAGAGGGGGGGCCCCAGAGGAATTGCTTCACGCGCTCGAGAGTCGCCATAATTGAACCCGAGTGGAAGCGGCTGTATACAGGATATGAGCAGCAGAGTTTCTCAAGGTGATTTGAGCTCTTTGATTTATTCCTCTTCGGTTGGAATGTTGGAAAAAGTAGATTCGGGGCGGCGTTGAAACCCGCGCAGATCATCCAAAGGCGGGGGCGAAGATGACAAAATGTCGGGCGTGACGCACGCAATCGGCTGTACCACCTGCCTACTCACGACAATGTGGATGCGACATGTCTTGGGCATTTTGACAGAATATTGATTAGACATCTAAAGAATCACTACTTGTGGTGGCTCAGGCCTCGCAACACGCAATGAACATAGGCGACTATAGTGAGATTTTTTATGCAAGACATCAAATTGTAGAGAGAATGATCGACGCCTAGATCATCCCTCCCTAACCACTGACGGGCTTCTGCTGAGAAGAATGGTGACCATGTCGGCGCAACCCGTGGATAAGTATTGTCTTCAATCACCAGTAGGCAGCATTATCTCGTTAACCAAAGAACCTGAGGTTGCTACTATGCACATGAAAGTGGCGGAGATAATTAGGTTTCCTCGCAATAATTCGTGGACTGGTATACTCTTCGAAATGAAGGTCAAACTTATGATCCTTTATATGGCCATTTCCTCTCCGAAAGTTGTTGAACTAAATATAGGGGCACGATTTCAAACAACAAGACCAGATTCCAAGATAATAAAAGGATATAGTATACTTTTATTATATAGTAGTACTAAAATTATAGTAAGGGTCTAATTACTTAATCCTATACTTATAATATATCTACTCTATATAAGGAATTAACCTATAAGTATATAATAAGAAGCTTAGAAGTTTATAATTAAAAGTAGTAGGGATTAGGAATAGATCTATAATTATATATTTATTATATATAGTTAATTAAGTAAGTATTATTAGTATAAATAGTATAAAGTTTAATAAGCTTACTAATAAAGTTTAATAGATATTTTAAATATCTATAAAGTTCTTATTCTATAGTTTCTATATTTTAATTTAGTTCTAACTTTATATTCCTCTATAAAAGTTATAAGTTTAAAAGGATTCTTAGGTAAATTAATTAGAATTCTATAATTTCTATTATTATTATATAGTAATTATATTTTTTATTTATTTTATTCTATATTATAATAAGTATTAAC